TAGAAAGGCAAATTACTTATTTGCCTTGTTAAGGTTTTGGGCTTGACAGGATCTAATGATCTCACACCTAAAGAGAGATGAAATAAAACTTGGGAAGAAGGGTAAACCACAAAGAATGCATCATTTATGGGCCACAAGGACATTTGGCAGAACATCCAAGATAAGGAAGAAACTAATAAAACCAACTCAGCAACTGTTCTGAATCAGCTCCAACTGAGTAAAACCTAATTCCATCATTCCAGCAGGGAGAAATCTGCAGCCACCAACTCACAGACCACCAACCCTGGGGACCCACTGACTCAAGAGAAAGACTGAGTATGCCGACCAATTAGCATGAGAAGGCAAGAGAATCATTAACCAATAGAAGATAGAATATTAATTAATAAAAGAACCATGTCATTTATAGCTAACAAACATTAATGCCTTTGGCTGGTAAAATAGATAAACAGTAAAAAGTTTTGATAGTTGGTGTACTTGATTTGTGGAAACCTCCACCTTGAACCCTGCACAGAGTAAACAATGTCTGCTTTCTAAACGAGACTGGGACTGCGTTTGGAGAGCTCCTAAAACTCCCCGCAGGTCTTCAGGTCCCTGCCAGCCTGCTGAAGTGCAGGCTTCCAAAGGATTCAGTCTTCTCTTGGACACCCACCTGCTCTAGTGTGGGTCTCCTCCACAGGCTGAAGGAGGATCTCTGCATTTTTGTGGTCCTCCATGGACTGCAGGAGCACAGCCTGACACATGTAGTCTTCACCATGGGCTGCAGGGGAATCTCAGCTCTAGCAGCTGGAGCACCTCCTGTCCCACCTTCTCCACTGACCTCAATGTCTGCTGAGTTGTTGCTCTCACATTTTCTCACTCCACTTTTCTTTGGCTGCAGAGATGTGTTACATCTGCACAATATTTTTTTTCCTTCTTAAATATGTTATCACAGAGGCGTTACTGCCATTGCTGATGGACTTGGCCAGCAGCAGGTCCATCCTGGAGCTGACTGGCATTTGCTCTGCCATGGGGACATGGGGAAACTTCTGGCAGCTTCTCACAGAAGCCACCCCTGTAGCCACCCCCAGCCCCCAAAACCTGGCATACTGAAAACCCCATACATACTGAAGCAAAACACATCAGCAGAGCAATCATTGAGGCCATCAACATGTTTCTTGCTTTTGTCAGACTCCAGTACTAAGCTTTTGTGGTGGAATTCCTATATTAGCATATAATGTTTTTCTAAAGAGATTAATTGTTACAAATCAACAAAGTTGCAAACAGACACTCTGGATCTTGGAGCTGGGATCTTCATTCATGTGTAATTCAAAGGTATTTGTGCTGCACAGGACAATTACACCCTCAGGGTACACCAGTGTTTTCATGTGGGAGGTGACTTGTATTTCTGTCTTGTCTGGGTCTGATGAAAACAAAATGTTTGCAGGGTGCACTGAAGGATGATTCACCATTGCCTGAGAAGGCAAAATTAGCATCTTGATTGTCACAGTTAAACACAAATGTCTTTAAAAAACATGCATATTTAAAAATCCAACGACTCATTTTTGTAAGGGCAGATTCCTTTTCAGATTTGTCCTTGTATCTGTAAAAAATTGTGAATGATATTCACGGCATTATTATGAAAGGAAAAGAAAATGTGATTGACTGGATATTAGGTGAAAGGGAATTTAGAGTCAACTCTGAATGATGGTCAGCCCTTAATAACAATTCAGGGGTATGTTTCCAAATGCTTCCATGCTTTCCAAAATCTGACATTTTCATTGAAGAGCAACATAAGTCCTAGACTATTAAGAAAGAAAAACTAGTACTAATCACTTCTTAAGTAAGGCTGTCCATAAGATTTTAGCAGAAGTAATATGCTGAAAACAGACAGAAAACTGTCAATTAAAAAAAAATTACCATCTAACATGCATTTTTAAATTATTTTAAGGTTTGAATTTTTTTTGATTTCTGTGTCCACTGATTGCTCCCTCATCTGAGTTTTCTTGGATTGCCTAAGGTAAACCATTTCGCTCCACTCCTGTTTAATTATTACTGGACGAATAAGCTGGCTACAGTCTATCCAACTGAAAAACTTTGGTTCAGCAGATTTCACCTAAGTTTGTTCAATTCTGCTTATTTATAAAACTTCTAATATTTCCACAAGAAATTAAACAGAAAATACCAGCCCTTAAAGGAACAACCCCTGCCCACCTTTAAAATAAATATTTATATAAATGCTCAAAGAAAATGTTTTCTATTCTACTTTACCTTTATAAGTAAGATTCTTGCCTGAGGTGGATTAGGAATTTCATAAGCAAGGCTACTTATCTCACAAATTATGTTAAATATTTGTATGCTCAAACAAACATCTCAAGAAACATTAACCTATTTTAAAGGTTTAAGAAACACTGGAAGGCATCAGCATTCAGAGAACTAAGTGGCAGTAAAATTTCAAAACATTTTCCCAACTAACTATTTTCCCTAAAGCTACTTACTGTGCAAAAATGGATACAATTTTCTTTTGGAATATTTTATAAGTGTCTGAATCAAAAGCATTTCATCAGCATCACAAATAATCTATTCTACAAGATGCTTTCTGCAAGGCAAGTATTAGCTGATATTTAAATACAGCTTTCAAACATAAAACACATCATGAACTATTGAAGTAAAACAGCACATTCACATCTACAGTCTAGAGTTTCATCGTTTGGATTGGGAGAAATGGAAGTTTTTCTGACACTTACAGGATGAAAAAGGAAAAACTTTTTACATTTTTTAACTGAATTTAAGAATCTCAACAAACTAGCAAATAAAAACCAGAGATATATAAACTATAGCTAGTCATCACACATGGAAAGATAATTTTAAAGCGCTTTGTGAACTTCAGAAGAAAATAATAAGTCCATTATTTAAATATATATATATATATATATATATATAAATATAAATTTTAAGGTAACCTGGACATCTTTCTTTTAAAAACAATTAAAGAATAAGGACTTTATTAGTTATTATGTTAATTTTATTATTATATAACCATGTAAATCGAGTACAACTTGCTGCCATCATGCAGACATCCTAAAAACTTTATAAGTTATGACATGACCACTAAGCATCTCCATATGTGGCTTGGAGTTTTAGACAGCTTACCATACTTCAGATGTTTAGAGGATGCACTGCTTGTCAGAGTTTTACATAAATATAGAAAAATGTTTGAGACTGTATCATTAAATTAAAAAAAAAAGTTCATAAAACCCAGGAGAACACTCAGATACATTCAAATGTTAAATTTCCCTTAGAGGTCTTTCTCCCTTATGGGTAGGACTACCTGATTTCTGACTGAGAAAATTGACAATAATAACAATAATAACTATAATAACAATAATTTTCATAAATCTACAGAACTTAACAGCTGAACCAAATGAAATATTCTGTATTTGGAATCATACAGGATACATGTTTGTATACAGCAAATATATTCTGTAATATATACCAGAAATAGTGTTATATATTACAAAAGATGGAAGTAGTATAAATAATAATGACCTTTATTCGGTACACCATTTCTTGAGACAGATACACCCAGAATGTGGCAGACTGGGATCAAACTCTCAAAAGACAACATTGAGGCTTATCATTTCCATTGGCAGTGCGACAATTCCGTATATATATTAGAATAGTTAGCAAGCCAGACAGGGTACAGACAAGAATGATATTCTACATTTCTTGAAAATGTGCATTTGAATCCATGAAGGAGAATGGAAGCTGTTCTGGATAGCAGGTAGGTCATCGGTTATTGAATAAAATGGGACACACACCATACTGCAGTACATTTAAGAAAATCAAGATAATAAGTTAAATTTTCTTTCTCTTTTTAAGGAAGAAAATAATTACGTATAATTGTCTTTTTGTGCCTTTCACCCTGTTTCACATCCATAGACATCCTTCTTTTCTTTTCAGAAGTACAGACTGGAAGGATTAACAACTGTTTAACAATGCAAGACTTGGCCAACACACAGGAGGAGGCAAGCCCCAGATACACAAACGCAGGAGGCAACTGAGACGGTGACAAAGACCAAACCTCTGAAAGGCCATTGAAGGAAACATTCCGTCCCATAGAGATCAAGCTGGAATTTCCTAACTGATGAGGGAGGGGAAGACGGTCACATATTTGTCAGGAAAGAACAAAGTCATTATGGTATTTTAGGGTACAAAAGGCGTTATGGGATGTTTAGGGGAACGGGTGTGATGCAGGAAAATAGAGAGGCAGTGGGGCAATGGGGCCAGTTGAGTGAAAAACAAGATGCAGGTCCCCACACCTGCCTAACCAACTCCAGATTCCAGATAAACTCTGTTCCGTCTCTGTGTGCAGCTAGAGAACTTCCAGCCAAGGCAAGTGATCTGGGATCTAGCCTGGGGATCTGCAGAGACTCCGGGCTCAACAGCCAAGTTACCGGGGGAATAAAGGTGTGGACCGGGTATAGGAGAGACCAGCCTGGGGCGGGCGGGAATGAGCGGAGAGCCGCTCCCGGTGGTGTGCAGGGGTGGGTATGGAGCTGACACTGCTCAGCATTCCCGGCACATGGAGCCGCTCCCGGTGGTGTGCAGGGGTGGGTACGGAGCTGACACCGCTCAGCATTCCCAGCGTATGGACCTCGGCACTGCAGCATTCCAGCTCTGCTGGACAGTACTCCCCAAATCCCAAAGCCGCTGGAATGAGCTCCCTTGTGACGCGGTGCAACACCGGTGGCGTTGCAATGGAAAAGCACAAACATCAAATGCACAACTTTACTGAGAAACTCCGTTTCATTGCAGCTATGGGGAAAAAAGGGTCAGCACGGCCTGACACGGTGGCAGTTTACGCCCCTTGAGAGCAAGCTGCAGAAGACAGATTTTTTTTTTTTTAATATTTCTTTTAAAAACCGCAACTTATTGTTTCCTCAGGTAAATGGTCACAGGAGGCTCGCCCGCTGTTCCGGGGCCGCGGGGTGGGGCGGGGGGCGGGCCGGGCCGCGCTTCCGGCGGGGGGGCGGATGTTGGGGTTTGAATCGGCCGTCGGTTGGCGCGCGGTGCTGCGGCCCGGCTCGGTTTGGTCGGGTCCGAGCGGTGAGTGCCGCCCTCGGGCTCCGGGGCAGGGAGGCGGCAGCCCCTTCTTTCGCCGTGCGGCAGCCTCCCAGCCGGTGCTCTGGGAAGCCGCCGCTGCTTGGCTCCCGCCGCTCGGAGCGGCCGCAGCTCCGGCAAAACTACCCAAACATGCTCCCTCTTGCCTCCGCGCTAGCGGGACACGGGCGGCGGCGCGGGGGGACGCGGAGTGCGGCACGGGAGGGGAGCGGCGGCCGTCGCGCCCAGGAGCTGCCATGGCCCTTGTGCCGGGCGGCTGAGCCCTGCCAGGCGCGGGGGGAGCGCGGCCGCCTGAGCCCCGGCTCCTGGGGACGGGACGTGCCGGGAGCGCTGCCCGCCCGCCCGGGGCTGGGCGCCGAGGGACGGCACTTTCCCGGGACGCGGCTCCGGGGAGTGAGCGCGGGGGGACCTGGAGGTCTCACTGCGTGGAAATTCGGGGTTCACAGGTGGCTTCGGGAGATGTCCTTTGTTTCTGTGCTGGGGAAAACGTGTGCGTGATACCGTGCCTCTTGGGGCTTGCTTTGTTTTTCTTTTTCTGTTTCTAGTTCAAAGACTTGAAACGCGTTACGCTATGGAGCAGTAAAAACATTACAGAATGTAGCAAAATCTAAATACCCACTCTGAGGACTTTTCTTGCCTGTTTAGGAAAAGTAGATACTTTTTATTTACACCGGTTTTCAAGACACTGGGCCCTAATGGGGTCGTTCCTGCCTTGCAAGCAGACGAATGCAGAATTGCTTTGTTCCTGTGAAAAGCCCCAGAGGACTCATGCAGGGGGCCTAAATGGGTGATCTGCTTATCTTTTAACTTGTAAATTCGAACTTTGGGTTCACTTACCCGAAAGAATTCGAGAAAAGTAGAGGGAATTGGGGGTGGTGTAGCGTTTTCTTTTTTCTATTTTCCTGGAGCCAAGGAAAGGTATGAAGGTGATTTTCTTGTTTGCAGCCGCATATGTGCTTTGCCCACCTGTAGGGCTTTCTACCAAAAATAATCTTGGTTTGCGTGGCCGTGTGTAGGCAGTTTCTGTGTTACCGCAGGAGCGTGAGAACGGTGAAACTGACAGTGAGCATCCTGGGGAAGTCCTGAAGAAGGGGAATGTGTGTGAGCTCTGGGGGTCTTTTGCTCCCTCTGTACTTGATTTAGTTCTTCCTCTTTATTTAGAAAAAGGGAAGTGTGTTTCTGGGAAATGAGTGGTCAGTTATTCAATCTGACTGTCAGTGTGGTGTGTCTTTAGGAACGTTTTAATCTCGTTTAGTAGTGGTGCTTTTTGGTTTGTTTTCCTTTTAGACCGTTTTGTGGCCAAGGTCCTTTGTGCAACTACTCCGGTTCTCAGTGGCATAGAGCACTTGCCTGTGCCTGACACTTCTGCCTCCATTTCTTTTTCTTTCTCAATATGCTTCCTTCCCTAGATCTCCAGTGAAATTGCTCCAGTGCTTTATTTGCAATAGTTTGAATTAACCTAAAGTTTGTTCTTGAGGCTGATATCTGGTAGTCATCAAACCTGTAAATACCGGACCACCAATAGTGTACAATCTGTCAGGCTTCTGGTTTGACCCTTGATTTGTTACTGGCTGCTTCCCTGTAGCAAGAGGGAGTTGTCCGCCTGCCGGAGCTCCAGCCTGGAGATGCAGGCCATCACCCTTGGCTTGCAGAACTTAAGTAATGCTTTCTTCAGCTTCCTAAGGGAAGGCAAGTCAAAGATCTACAGATGTGTTCCTGGAAGAGTGCTGAGAAAGAATAATCATTTTGATGCTATGGTGAAGAAACTAGGGATTATTTGGTTTGGGTTGATTTTTTTAGGATAAGGGTCCATGGTGTGGCACACAGTAAAGGGCAGCTCACGTTGCAAGTTAGATCACTGTTTCTAAATAAATTACTTTCTACTTCAGTATGTAAAATACTGTCCTACATAGTGTAAATTCCCTTGTATGCATGTCCCAGTTTTGAATTCCTCACCTTTTTAGTTTGTGGGGTTTTTTTCCCTTTGGCTTTTTTGTGGATCAGGATTTCTCTGATCCAGGATCCTGCATTTTCTCCAAACAATGGAGACTATAGTCATAGTCACATCGCTACCCAGTTATTTTTTTGTTTTCAAGTTCTTTGCATTATTACAATCTTTATTTGAGCAGAAGTCAGAGCTGTTTCTTAGGTTCTCTGTGAACCATTATTTCTGTTGCTTAAAATAAGTAAGAACTCTTCTGTACAAATAAGTTTGTAAATAACTAGTTGTTGCATTGGACTTTTTCTCTTCTCAAAATAATATGTATTTTGTTTGTTAGTTTAGGGAAATAGGTAAAAGTTGCTGTATCTCTCATGGTCTAAGATTTTTTTTCTGGACAATTGCATCCTGCTTTCTGAATCTCTGTTTCCCACAATAACAGTTGAATTACGATATTCTTTTATCATAATACCACTTTCGGTTTATGGAGTTTATACCCTTTCTTTGCAGTTTTGAATAAACATAAAAGAGCTGTATAATGTTCATTTATGCACTGGATGTATTTAATACCTTGTTTCTTTTGAATGACAGCCAGAAGAACTCAGGATGAGCAAAACAAATCATTTTGATGTTCAAAGCACAAAAAGTGAGTAAAGCTTTTATAAAATAATTTCAGAAATACTTAATCTGCATATATATTGTTAGTCATGACTTATTTTATTCATGCTCAAAGAGTAGGTGAGTTTCCAATAATTAAATTACTGTCCAATTTGAGGCTCTTCAGTGCAAGACAGACAAGGAATTCCTGAGAGTGTCCAGCAGAGGCCATAGAGATGATTTGGGGTCTGGAGCGTCTCTCTCATGAGGAGAGACTGGGGGAGCTGGACCTGTTTAGTGTGGGGAAGAGAAGGCAGAGAGGGAATCTCATTAACACATACAAATATCTCAGAGGCAGGTGCCAGGAGGGTGGTGCCAGACTCCTCAGCAGTTCCCAGAGACAGGATGAGGGGCAATGGTCATGAACCAAAACACAAGAGCTTCCCCCTCAACATGTGGAAGGGTGGCAGAGCACTGGAAGAGGCTGCCCACCGAGGTCATGGACTCCTTCTCTGGAGACATCCAAAACCCACCTGCACAAGGTCCTGTGTCACCTGCTCTAGGTGGCCCTGCCTCGCAGGGGGTTGGACCAGATGATCTCCAGAGGTCACTTCCACCCCTGACCATTATGTGAAATTCTGTTAGAACCACCACTTCTCTCAGGAAATGAAAAAGAGGTTCTTTAGGTTTGTTTGCTGTAATTAGACTATTTTAAAACAGTGTTTTCTGCAGATGTTTCAAGGAAGTAAGCTTGTGAATTTAGCGGCCAAGTCACGCAGAGCTGTGTTTGAGATGTAGCATTCAGCACTTTCTTAGGCTGAAGCAGTAGCCCTGTTGTTACTCCTGTGACTGTTCTGAATCTTAGAATATTGTAAATGTCTTTTATACTGGGAATTAAAGGGAAGCTATTGAAAGTCCATGGAACTATGATAGTGGGCTAGAAGCTTTGGTAAGTGAGAGGTCCTTGAGGTTTTAGTTAAATGCAGTGTTGTCTCAAATTGTTAAATGTTTTTAAAAGCTGCAGTAGCAACTAGATGACATCTCACATGCACCTGGACATTGTTGGCCATTTGACAATTCTCTTTGGGTGTTTGGGGAAGAATATTTCAATTGGGAGCACAGTCTGCTTGTGAATTTAGCTTGGCTGATAGACCACTACTGAATCAGCAGGCTGGTTAAGTATTTTCTTGCTAGTAACTAGAGGAGGAACAAATAGTACATTCTTCTGTATCTATTATAAAATTCAGCAATAAGGAGAGGGATATCTACTGTCCTTTATCCAGTAATCTACTTGAAGATGCATGTGATTGAAAGAGGTGGAAGTTACTGCTCTGTAGCTGATCCATAGCAATTCCAGTACATTCACTGTGCTTATAAACATGATTCTGTATTTTAGTCTGTGTTCTCTGTGGACGGCCAGATGACTGCACTGAAAAGTATGGAGAAAAAAGGACCTATGTGGAGTACAATCTCACTGTTCATTATTACTGTTTGGTAAGTGTATGGTAATGATATTTGGGTTTTCTGTTTTATCTGAAAAAAAGGTGCAACAAGTATTTAATACTAATAACTTGTCATGTTTTTGTAATAATTTTGTTGTCGCAAAGCTTGAAATGTGAGCTTTAACTCATAGCCTTGAAAGCTTGTACTTGTCAGGTGCAGCAGATGAAATAAGTAAATCCCAACAAGCCTTTATTCAAAGCTAAATTCTGTTCATGGTCCATTTAAAGGAATTCATTCATTCTCCTAACCTATCATAGCAAATAGCAATGAAGGTACATGTTAAGACAAAAGGAACAGTTTGCACTTACGTATTGCCTCCTATAAGAAAAATGTAGTTTCAAAATTTGAAATGTGAAAATTCCATGTCAGCTGTTCTCTGACATTACACAGAACATTGTAACACTCAAGTCCTAATTTTCAGTGAAGTTATATGTAACCTGTTGATCATATCAGTATAGTTTCACTAAATAGTCCAAGTGTATAATTTAAACAAAGCTATGGATATGACTTGAAGCTTTTGTTATCACCCTTGACATTTTCCAAGTTTCATATTCCTAAAGGTATACTTAAGTTTCCTCTCAAACTCTAAATTTTTACAGGTCTTTAGAATAACATTACTGCTTCACAAAAAAAAAATCTTTTGTTTGTTAATGAGTATAATTTGAATTGTTCTCCCCAATTTTATAATGAGTGTCGAGTATCAGAAGTAATGTAGGGGGTATGTTTTCTCAACAAGTTCTTTAAACAGTGTTGACTGTAGATGACTTAATAGTTTGGATACTGAATCCTTTAAAAACTAAGGAGAAGTTACATAAAGATAGAGAAATTTGATTTCAAATAAATTTTAAGTAGCTGTAAGGAAATAGAGGCCATTATACCATGTTAGTGGTAATTTTGTCTCCTATATAGGGCCATATCAAATGATAAGGAAAAATCCTATCCTGATAAATAGGTAGGAAAAGGCATGCATGCAATACTGAGCTTTAGGAGTTAAAAGGTATTTTAACTGCAGGAAGCTCATTGTAGTATCTTTAACATTTTTTTGTGTCTACTTCTTTAAAAATGTGCAAAGCCCTGTGATTTTACTTAAATACAGTGTATGTTATATAAGAAAAGAGTTCTACAAAGAGGCACATTAGTGACAGTTTAATTATTCTTTGCCAAATGTCTCACAGTTGGAATATATTAAATATAAATTAATATATATATATTAAATATATTTAATTGGCTTGGATATGTAATCTTACATTTATTTGAGTACAATATTGATAAAGCTAGTTTAAATGGTACTACGTTGAAATTATAAAACGAGACTGTAAAGAATATAAACGGCATCAAGTTGTGAAACTCTTCAGTTATTTGAAGACTGTAATGTTGCTGCCTAACTTTAAATTATCATCAGGCTCTTCTGATTTGCCTAGTTACTTGATTCTGTGTTTATTTAAATCTCCTCTAAAGTGAATTACTTTTCCTCTTAGGTGACACTTCAGTACAGTTACTTCCTACTGTGCTTCATTATCTTCACAGCACAATTGTCATTCATAATAACTAAGCTAATTTAATTTTACTTCCTCTGAAGATTTATATGCTGAAAGTAATTGTTTGACAATTATCTGAATAGTCTGTATACTTCAAAAAGGAAGGCCAAATACACTATCTCAGGCCCTGCAGTATTATACAATTACTCTGATGTTACGTAATACTTATTTTCATTTTACTGGTTATTGTCATGTCAGATAAAAATGTGTTTTATATCAGAGTTTTAATCATTAAAATGTTTCCATGTGAGCTTTTTTAGACTAAACTTATTTCTTACTTGATAAGCACAGTGTATGTAATTTTAAATCTTTACATTAGGTGGATGTTTTGAAATACTTAATTTGTTTTTGTAGTTAATGTCAAGTGGCATTTGGCAGAGGGGTGAAGAAGATGAAGGTGTAGATGGATTTTTGATCACAGATATTAGAAAAGAAGTAAAAAGAGCTGCAAAACTGGTAAGAATGATGTCTTTGTTATTTACCAGGGGAAAAAGGTAACTTTTAAGTGCTTTTCGTACTGCCTGTGGGATTTATTTTCTTCCTCCAATGGACAGTGTGCTGAACCCATTCAAGCACCTGAACTCTACGTTTAAGTAACAAGTATATTGGATTTGTGGAAGCCACAAGGAAAAAAACCCTGCAGAAATTGTAATGATCCACCCTTAAGGAGAAGGAAGCACCCAAGATTTTGCTCACTGGGCAAAAGGAGTGACAAAAGTCAGAGGGTCGGCTAGAAGTCAGAAAGTTTTATTAGTCATGTACACACTTGGCCTGGGCTTTGTGGGGTTACCTTTTGGGGATAGGTTTCTCCACCCCAAAGGTGGATTTCTTGCCCTCTATGTAAATTAGTTATCATGAGCAGTCTGTTGTTTCAGGCCTTTCTGGAAGTGGGTTGGAGGGCTTTGGGGTCTAAATCCTACCCCATAGTCCATGCCCACTTCTGCTCTACATTCCTGTGCTTGCACTGTGCTGTGTTGTGGTTCTTTCTCACACACAGGTCAATCTCTGCCAGGCCCTCTGCTACAGTCAGATCTTCTTTCTCACGGTGTGTCCTTGGTTATCACCGGCAGTTTGTGTGTGTTACTGCCAGCAGCTCCACTGTCGTTGTCAGTGTTTGAGACATGCACATTAGCCCCATGCCTTCTGGGAATCCAGCTCCCAGGGTCTCACTTTGGTCCACTGTTTATAGGGTCACAGGAGGGCTTTAGTGACAGTAATTTTCCATCCTGGCTGGAATTCGAGTTGGTAACTTTCTCTGAAGCTTCAGTAACGAAAATACTATTCCACTTGGTTGTTATTCAGGCAAGAAAACAGTTTCCAAGGCTGTTTGTTATAAAACAAGAGCTCATTAGATACCTGTTAGTTCCTGGGAGCAGACAGTGTTTCTGATGAGCCTCAAGAGAGGCTTAGTCCAGTGCAGGTGGTTCAGGCTGAGGCCTAGTGAGTGTTTCTGAGATCGGTGTGGCCTGGGTGCTCCATTACAATTCACCCCACAACTGAAGTCGGCTTCCCTGGGCCTCTAGAGTTTGCAACTGGTGTTATTCCTTGGGCAAGTTCCAGATAAAGAAGAGTGAATTAAACTTTCATAATACCTCATGACATTGTGCTGAGCTTGATGCTGAGAGTAAATAATTTACAGATGCCTATATATAAGCATATATATGTGTATGCCTATTATAGCTATATAACTATAGGTACTGATAAAGTAACTTGTATGTTATCTTACATGTCACAGGACAATATGCATATTAACCAGTATGTTAAGTCTGGGAAATAACTGCATGTGTTTACTCTTTGTAACAGAGCTAAACCGCATTAGTCTTGTCACAGTTTTAATCTATTAGCTACTATTCTTTCTTACACTTTTTGTAACTTTTCTATTGGTTTAATTCCTATAATTTTATTTGTATTTAAACTGTTAATATTTTGTTTCCAAAACCAATTATTTCTAGAAATGTAATATCTGTAAGAAAAAGGGAGCTTCAATTGGGTGTGTAGCTCCTAAATGCAAACGAAGTTACCATTTTCCTTGTGGGATTCAAAGGGAATGCATTTTCCAGTTTATGGAAGACTTCAGGTGAGTTTTGGGACTTTGTTGTTTTTCTATTTTCAATTTATTATATTTATACAGGAGGTGACTTGGGTGTCCTTCATGACTGATAGTTGCAAATGGCATCAGATTATCTAGGAATCAAATACCCGATTTGTGGTAGACATGAAAGTCAAACAGTTACATTGTGTACCTAATATTTATAAACTCAATTCTCAACACTTTTAAATACATGACTTTATGCTTATACAAGTAGTTAAGTTGTTTATAAAACTGAGCAGTAAATTCTGAGCTCTGAAATAAACTGCCTAATGGTCGATTTGGGTTTTTGTTTGCCTCTCTTCTATGCCTTTGTTGAAATGGCAGAGCTTTGGATACCCGTATCTCTCAACAGTCACAACACAGTGTCTGCCATTTTATTGTGTTTCCAAGTTTATCAGAGAGGGACTGCAGGGGGAATGGGCTTAATATCAAATGTCAAAAAAAAAAGATTTGTTTTCTTTTACTGTCATCTGTCTAGCATCTTGGCTGTAGTCAAAATACTCTTGAGTGCATTATCCTTGTTGTGAGCTGAGTTTGTAGGGTGGATGGATTGAAGTCTGGCAGGCAGTTAACACAAAACAACTTGCATTACCTCAAGTACGTGTAAAGATAAGGCATTTTCAGAAAGGTTTGTTCTAGAGCTGCATTTCTTGGATGTTATGGTATGGAATATCCCTTAGGTCAGTAGGGGTTAGCCATCCCAGCTGTCTCACCTCCCAGTTCCTTGTGCGTCCCTACCCTGCTCACTGGTGGGGAGGGGTGAGAAAGAGAAAAAGTCTAGACTCTGTTCAAGATCTGCTGGGCAATAGCTAAAACATCACTGTGTTATCAACACTGATTTCCTCACAAATCCAAAACATCACCATACAAATCAAGTTACTATTAAGAAATTTAACTCTAGCCTAGCAAAAACCAGTATGCCTGCATTTTTAGCTTGTTGCATAGCACTCATGAAAAATTGATTAATGAATTAATTTTGATGTCTTTAAGTTTTATGAAGAAGGTTCTTAAAATGTAGTTTTGTTAACAGAACCATAAATTACTCTTTTTAGATCTTACTGTTGGGAACATAGACCAGTCCAAGAGTTTATGGATAAAGAACCTAGAGGAGCTTCACAGTGCACAATATGCCTGGATTTGGTTGAACATCTTCCAGTGTACACTGTATTGAAAAGTCCTTGCTGCAAAAATGCTTGGTTTCATCGAGAATGCTTGCAGGTAATACAGGTTCTCTCTTTCAGTCCTTTTGCATCCATGGAGATCACATTTCTGTTTAAAAATAATGGAACAATTGCTTACTGGTAAGTGTAGGTAGTAGGTATGAAGTATTCTAAGTTTGAAGAGCAGTGCTAAAATTGCTTTATGCACACAAAAGGATTTTGAGCTTTTAATGCTATTAATTTTTCTCTCCCTGTGGCCCCTCCATGTTTCTGCATGTGTGATACATATTTCATGCCTTTGCTACTTTTAGGAACTGAAGTTCAGCAAGTTTCTTGCAAGTCATTATGTGCAGAATCTGAGTGCTAAAAATGTAATTTATACATCATCAGTTCTCTTTGGCTAAATCCAAGACTATAAAAAATTACAACTTTCTTTTTGTAAACTTACACTGGATCTGGAGAGGTTACTTACACTGACTGAAAAGAATGGTACTTTTGTTTATGAATCTTATTCTGGCATATGAGCTCTTTCCTTAAAGGAAGAGAAAATTCTTGCCATTTGCTTTAATGTCAAGTCACATCATAATTGTACCAGCTTTAACACCCATGTCAGGACGGTATCCATGAATGTAATGTGTCTGAATATTAAGACATAATTTATTGTCATATTAAGGATGGTAGTAATTCAATAATTGGTCTGGTTTCTTTGTTGTGTTTTTTGTTTTTTTTCTTGGCACAGTATCAAGCTTTGAGTGCTGGGATATTTTTCTTTAGGTGCACAGTATGTAATAACAAGGACAAATTTCAAAACGAAATGTTGAGAATGGGCATACACATTCCAGAAAGGTAAGTAATTTTGTTAATGACTACTCTTGTATGAAAACTTTGATAAGCTGTTATGAACATTTATTTTATTCTACAGAACTTCAGCTATTAATAGTGAAATGTTGGTTCTACCTTCAGTTGTAGAATTGTTCAGTTTAGTAAGGAGTAGCCTGTTTCCTTTTAGATATGCATAAAAATAGCCAAAGGTGAAATTGGTTATATCAAACACAAAATAGAAAGCTCTGAAAAGTCACTTTTAATGCCATGATTTAGCTTAAATTCTAAACCCAATTGGAAGATAAAAGCACTTCTTAAATATAATTTTTCCTTAGCGTAGAGATTGCTAAGAAGTGTATCTTCTGTGTTCAAGTTTAATTATCTGAATTTCTGTCCAGACAGAATTGTAATTGGCTGATTACTCAGCCATACAGCTCCTGTCTTCTGCCAAGGGATTGCAAAGGTTTATGTTAGTATAATATCTGCTTCCAAAATTCCAAGCTGTTTTTCCTGTTTCTGTCACCTGAAGAGGCTCAAAATATGACAGAAAGAGATCAGAATGATGCTTCTTTGTTAGAAGTATCATTACTTAATAACTATTAGTCTTCAGAGAGCACCATCAATTCCCTTTTGAGACAGAAGCTGAAGATTCTGGAGAGGAGGAAGAGTCAAAATAATTTATGAACTTCACCATACTGGCCTGGAACATTCTGAGTTACCATTCATGAAACCAGTTTCAGTTGTAAGTGTAGGTTGCCTAAACAAATATCCGTTTTCTGTGAGAGAAAAAAGGGATGGAGACAGAGCAAAAGTGCTGTGTCACTGAAGTCATATGACAAATAATAAATACTTAAAATCAAAGTCAATTTATGCAAGAAAAAGTCCATCTATGTGTTTTATAGTATTATTTTAGTTACTAGAGTTTCCTCCCCCCCTTCCCCCTCTCAGTTACCTAGAACCTCCCCTAGAACATGACATGATTGAAATACATTCATATGTTTATTGCATGTATTTTTTTCTAAATACAGAGCAACCCATTAAAACAATCAGAAATAGAGTTCTGATGTCCATCTTCTGCCTTGTTTACAGGGATGCATCTTGGGAACTTGAAGAAAATGCATATCAAGACTTACTGCATTGTTATCAACACTGTGATGTTAAAAGGTGTCTCTGCAAGAAAGGAAGAGACTATAATGAACCTGATAGGTATGATACTTTAGCAGGAACGTATAACTTGGGATAGAATAGGTTTTTTGACTTATTTTTCATTGTTGTTGTTTATAATTTTTATGTACATAAATGTTTGGGTATTTTTTGGCATCACATTTTAATGTCAAGCCAACACACTGTCTAGATAGTGTTTTTGTTCTACTCAATATAATCATATTTCAGTACTAAATTTCTCTAACTTCATATGGTTATAAAAGCCATGAAAACCAAATTAAAGGGATTATCAGTTACTTTGTCCTCATTTTTTACAGGCTGAAGTAGAATTTGTGCACCAACACAGCATGTACCTAAATTAATGTTGTGCATGTATCATTCAGAGTTTAATTCAGCAATTTATTGAGTGTTAAAATACTTATAGCCTTTACAAGAAGTTATTGTTGAAGTAGTAGAATTAGGTCGTCAGTAGTTTGAATGTTTCCCTAGAGAGTTCTCCTTTAAATTAATTACTGTTTGGAAAAGCTGACTGGTGGATACTATAAAACACAGAGGAGTTTGCTGACTAGCAGGATGAGAAGAAGATAGTGCCTGCAATCTGTTGGCTTCAGAACAGAGGAGTACTAATAGCCTCACTCAGTGTAAGCTGCTGGAACATGAGTAGCTTTTTTTTCTTGTTGCAGCCAGTTATATCTTGTGTGAAGAAAGGCTTCTTGATTAGAATCAGTTCTGCCAGACTGATAAAATTATGCTTTATTGGTTTAGTGTCAGGATTACACTTACAATTAGTCTTTGTTTTAACTGGCCTCGTTCTTCTGTCTAATTCTAAATACCAAACTTTTTCCTTTTAGTAAATGGGAAATTCAGCGTTGCCAGTACTGCGGTTCTCGTGGAACTCATTTGGCCTGTTCATCTCTGAAGTCGTGGGAGCAAAACTGGGAGTGCATGGAATGCAGAAGTATCTTTGCAAAATCAGGTGAAGTTGTGGATGTGACAGTGATTTCTTAAATGAGAACTTCAGGTTATATAAGTATACTTTGCAACTAGAAAATTCATTAAATTGATATAATGTAATCCTACAGGGAAGTATAGCAAACAGAAAAGGCGTGCTTCATCTGCCTCTGCAAATTCAAATGGAACACCTTGTTTGCTGGACGAGCCACCCCCAAAGTCACCTCGGCAGTCATCTGGATCTCCACGCAGATTTCTACTCCAGTGTGTAATTTTCTGTTTTCTCACAGAAATTGATCATTGCCATAAGATAATACTTAAACGTGAGGAAATGATGACTTATTCCATAGGAGGAATTTACATTAAATTGTGAATCAAATAAAATTAGAATAAAAAATTTAGTGATTGAAGTTTTCTGAGTAAGCCATGAATTCTAGTTATTTGGATTTGGTGGCATGTAAAACATTTTTTAGTTTGGTAGAGATAGATCCTTGTTAAAGGAATTTTAACAATTTAGTGGTAACTTAAGAATATACAAATGACAATAAGCTTTATGTTTGCTTATTGGAAATTTTTCCATTTTAATAGTGTTCTAGGAGTCTGACTTAAAGACAAATGTTCATAATAATATTTTACTCTGCTGTTTTCAAGTTTGTAAAAACAACTATTTTTAGTTTTTGCTTACTGTGTCAGTCAGTGCTTTCGTCTGATGTATGAGATGCAACTGAAAACACATCCTAATTAATCCACGGTGTAATAAAATACAGACTCATTACTTTCAAAATTGTAGTTCAGGCACTGGTGGACTTCATGGAAATGGAGATACAAATGAGATTCAGTACTGATTTAGGGGGAAACTATACTGCTACTGTGAAATAGGAAGTGTTCATACATTCTTCAGTTGTATCTTCTTAAAATACTGTTTTGACTTCTAGATCACCAAAGATGATGTGCCAGAACTTGTCACCTTGCTCACACCTAGAGCAGCCAGCATCCAACAGAGTGACAGTGTCCCCATCTCCAGTGATGTCAAACTGGAACTGGTCCCTGAGGCACAAGTATTTCTTCTATTTTTCTTATTTTGAAGAGTAATCTAGCACATGGCTTTTTACTGTATTTCCTACAGACTCTGTGTGTGTGTGGTTTTGTGTATATGCAGTATCTGTATGTATCTGTGTATATATACAGTATCCATATATATTTCTCTGTGTGAATCTAAACAATATGCATATATATTTGTGTGTATATGTATATAGTCAGTCAAAAATGAGATGAGTTTACACTTAAAATCAGAAGTCATAGCTTGAGAAAGGCTTCTACTGTTTATAAATGCTAGAGGGATGTGAGGGGAAAAGAATGAAACCTACAGAGAGTTTTTAGGTTAGATGGTAAGGGGGTGAAAACCCAGAAATGCTTTTTTGTCCCTACTGATGTATGGCTAAACATTCTTTAGAAAATAGGGAATAAAAAGGATCCTAATTGCTTTCTTCTAATTAGACAGGTCCTAAATTTTTAATGTTTTTGTATTTGTACCATATGAATATTTTGTGCCTGTACTAAAGTCAGTGCTAAAACAACGTGTTTTAATATAGAATATTCAGTTTGGGGACATAAAATTCATTATCTTCTTGTGAGTAGTTAATTTATGGATTCTATCTTATGTGCTAAAAATTCTGATGATCGAATAAGGTATTTCTAGTAAATACGGTATTTGAGATAGTTTTGGTTGGAAGCTCATAAAGAAAACATCCTGTTTTTTTTTAATGAGAATTTTCTTCCCACTCAAATATACTTTTTTATTATAGTGATGATTGTTCTAATTTGGTTTCAAAACATCTGTAAGGCAAAATTTTCAACTTCAATTTCTTACTTGTTTCACTCTGTTTAAATGTCAACTCATGTGATGATGGTTTGGTGCTGTGTTGGAGTCACTGAATTAAGAAAATCACTATTTGATTTATGCCAGGGTAGTTATTTCTACCTCTTTTTTCAGTTTTTAGAGGTATTCTAAAGCTTGCCACTATAGGATTATATATTTTAAAATATATACTAAATGTTTTATTGATATAATTCAGGCAATACATGAATGTGCCACAGTGTTTAAAGAAGTGTTCTTAATATCCTATTTAACTATTTTTAGTAACTGTTGTTAATTACAAATCTTAGATTTAATCTGAGAATACATGCAATTTTCTTGTAGGTATTTAAGTCAGCAAAGAAAGGAAGTTTGTAATATACTGAAGGAGTTAAAGGTACAAGTTCAAACAAAAACAACAAGACTTAACATCAATGCAGAAAATATTTGGAGTAGTGCTTTAAAAGGATTTAGACAGCGCATCTTCAGTCCTACAAACACTATTGAAGTAAATTTCTCAAACTGCAAAAATAGATCGAAGACAAATACTTCTTCTGCATCAAAACACCATTTCTTCCAAGTATTAATGCTTCACCTTCAGAATTCATCATTGTTTGAGGGCTCTTTTGGAAAGAACTTGTCCCTTGATTTTCAAGGTAATTAGTTGCTTTGTTCAAAAGCAAATTGAGAAGTATATAACTTAAAATATTTTTTAATCTTCAGCCATTATGAGTGTCAGTTCACAAGTATAGTCCTGAATGATAAGAATCAGTGATTGATTTTTTTATTTTTTCAATTCTAAAGAGGGATGGTGTGTGGATTTGTCATTTTAAAAATTTGGGTTGGTTGGAAAAGTCGACTACAGCCATGGAAAAACAGCATATAACTAGGCTTGGAACTTCTTAGTTAGTGTATTTGTTTTCTTTAATTTAGTTTCTTTATTTCTGACTCGCTTTCTCTGCTAATTATTTTCCTTTCCTCAAATTTCTAGAGCATTATTTTTCATAGTGTGCTTCCAAAAGACCCCAAGTTAGCTTCTTTGAGTTCTTACGCTACAGAATTAAATATGAGTTTGGTGTAAAGTGGAAGTTATATCTCCCAATCCTGGATAGTGGCTGAAGAGCTGGTGCAAAAGAATGTGGTACTCCTATGTAAAAATAGGGTCTTATAATTTGAGCTGTCACAAGATGGCAAAAGTCATTAAGAAAAACAGTACTATGACATTTTCTATTAAAAAATGATCAAAAATAATTTCTATGCATCTAAATAAACATACTTTTTTATTTGCAGCTTTAAAAGAAAATCTTTATTTTGAAGCTGGTAAAATGATTGCCGTTTCTCTGGTTCATGGTGGTCCACCTCCTGGTTTCTTTTCCAAAACACTGTTCAAATGTCTTGTCTATGGTCCAGAGAACGTGAAGCCAGTTTTGGAAGATGTTGCTGATGTTGATGTAGCACAAACAATAAAAACGGTAATATGCAATAAGTTTCTTTTTATTTATTGCTCAAGACTATATTTGGAGATAGACTTACTGAATATAAATTTTGTTGAAATTCAAAGGTATATTTTTCACATATATGTTTACACACATGTAGTAAACAAGTGCCTAACTTATGTTTCTATGCAGATAAAATTTGCAAATAGTCTGTCCAGCCTACAGTCTACACTACAAGACTGCTGTGAATTCCTCACTGCTGCTGGCTGTTTAAGACCTGTAACAGCTTTGTGTGATAAGAACATGCTGGTGAATGACATACTGATCTATCATGTAATCAAGAGAATTACTTTGCCCCTAGAAAGGTTTGTTTTGCTTGAGTTTTCGAACTTCTTGGTTCTTCTCCTCACTGCAGCTCTAAATAATATGTTACTAAAACTAACTCTCAGGTATTCTTACTTACTTACTCCATTTAAACCACTGAAGTGTACTGTAATTTTCAGTTGATTAAGTAGCAGCTGTTAACTAAGTAGTTAAACTGAAAAGCTTTTTTCTCTACATATCTGCTCTGACTTCTCCTTGGTCACATTGTCATGCTGCAGCTTAAAAATTGTGAATCCGCCTTCTTCATAAGGTTGAAAAGGGAATGCAAAGACCTTTGCACTCTAAAATTTCTCTAGCTTATGTTCAATTCTAATTCAGAATTGCTCCAGTGTAGAGTCTTTGTTTTAGAAATGTTTAACATATGTTTAGAATTCAAATGAGTTTTCTAGAGTTCTAATTAGGGAGTTTGTGTGTGCTATTAGGAGTGCAGCACTCTCAACAAGTGTAAGTTGGCCTGCTTAGAATATAAGCATTGCATTGATGTTTCTGTGAGGTAGTGATGACCTCATGAGCTGGAAAAGTTGCAGCTCTTGACTGTTCTTTGATTGGTCTCTGGTCTTACTTCCAATTCACATTCTTCATCTGCTCAGTAAAAATTTATTGGATGCTAATTTTTCCAACAAGCATAGCCTGATTTAAATTTCACATATAGTATTACCTCTGACAAATTTGATTACTCTGTCTCAAAGAGCTATGAAAACTGATTCTTAATATGAGGATTTTTTTAACAAATGTCAGAAGAATTTAGTCCTTCAGTTCAAGGCCCTCTGGCATGTTTGAACAGTCTATATTGTATTTTAAAAATTAGTGAGTTAAAATGTAAAACATAATTAGTGCATTTAAACAAATGCACTAATTCAAACACTTAGATATTAAGTTAACTTGAAACACCATGAGGTAGTGGAGTTTTGAGCATTTGAGAGATGGGCTTAAGGTGGGCATAAGAGAGTAGAACAAGAAATTACTTGTCACTATAAAGAGAGTTGGTTATTTTAGCTGTTAAATGTTCTATGCCAGTAGGCACCACTGAAAAGAGCCTGTCTCTGACCTCCTATCTCTTCAGATATTTCTACATGTTGAGATTCCACCTGAACCTTCTCTTCTCTAGGCTGAAGAATCCCAGCTCTCTGAGCCTCTCCTCAAAGGGTTGTGCTGTAGTCCCTTAATCTTCCTAGTCACCCTTTGCCAGAACCTGGCACTGCACACAGCACTTTGTGTGGCCTTACTACTGCTGAGCAGAGGGGAAAGATCACCTCCCTTGAGCTGCTGGCAACACAGTTCCAGTACAGCCCAGGATGCTGCTTCTGCGTTTGTCACAGGCAGAAATAACAGCATATAAGCACATGCAAACTTGCAAAAGCCAAGCAAAGGCTGTCTTTTAAGAGAACTCATTTTGTCTATGGACAAGGAATTTAAGCTGTTTTCCAAAGAGCTATTTGTAAGAAAGTAAGAAAACATAGCAATCCTCTAAAGTTAAAAGTACGCCTTGTACATACAGTCAAGTACCAGGAAATAAGGTTAATTTCTACATATCACTGGTATTTCTTTCATCTCCCTAAAAAGCTCTACAGGAACATTTAGATTGTTAAAATGAGAGTTAAATGCATTTCCCAAGATAAAATGGGAGTACTATGTAACCTTCTTGATAAGATTTATTATACCCCATCTTGCAGCTTTATAAAATGCAGAGTTCTGATGCATGGTCACTCTTTTTCTATCCCCCTCTCCTAGTTTTAGGCAGGGTTTGAAAACGCTTGGTGTTCTGGAGAAAATGCAAACGCACCCAGGTGTGTTCTCTAGCATATTCTGCTACAAACCTGAAAGACTTTCAGCGGAAACTGTTTACAATCTCTTTACAATCCATTCCTCATCAGATGTAAATCAAGTTGAAGGTGCTGATTTTTGGATGGGCTATTTGCAAGATGTGGAAAGTAAGTTTTGGTTTGGTTTCATTTTTTGGGGTTTTTCTTTGTTTTTTTAAATGAAAGAGTCCTCCCCTTCCCTGTCCAGGTTATTTAGTTGCTGCTGGTATACATACAGAATTTGATTTTTAGATTTCAGTGATGTAAATAAATCAAGGTTTTGTAATCACTATCAGTTCCTAATTGTTCCTTCTTCCCCCTTTTTCTTACTAATTAGAACTTCTCAAACTGTTGCCCAGACCTTTAGAGTGGTAAATATCTGAAAGATTGTCTCTAGGATTCCTGTGAATTAAAATATGAAAATCCAACACACAGCCTAAGTGATACTGAAAAATCCTTTATTAGATAAATTGTCTGAAGTCTTAAAGACCTCTGTTTCCTATCTTTACTTACAGAAGAGATTTTTTATTCACTTAAGATTTTTCAGACCTAACTGAAGTGGGATTTTCTTGCTAAACTTTTTCTTAGGTAGCCGTATAACTGCTTATTTATTCAGCATATTGATTTGATTTCATATGGGGTTTTTTTCCTCTTAGCACTTAACTTCTGGGGTAGTGGCTTATGTGTAATAGACAATCAGTGATAAAACGTAATCCTTTTCTTTTAGGTGGTGACTCTGTAGTGACATTGGAGGATATTCTGCTCTTTGTAACAGGCTCCTCTTATATACCAGCCATAGGTTTTGATCCTGAACCTACTATTAAATTTTTACGTATAAGGTATCCCAATGGAAACAGACTTCTTAATTGCTTAGAGCTTCCTAGAACAAAGACGTATCAGCAGTTCAAAAATAAAATGGAGCTCACCATCAGAAACACACTAAGAGTTGAAAGGGAGTAAGTATTTTTGCTATTAAACTGAACGTTGGAAACTTGAGTTTTCTGCAGGAACATCTTCTTTCAGTTTGCTACTGTATTTTTGGACATGCTTTTAGTATTTTCTGACCTTTCCTCCAAAATTATGCTAAAAGTTTTTATGAGATGGAAAACAATTTTCAAATTAAAAAAAGCCTTTATCCCCTGAATAGTTTTCGTTTTGAAGTTGACCTTCAGAGTCCTGCATCTCTTGCAGAAGTAGTTTAAATGTCAGCTTTTGCTGTAGACGGGTATGAAAAACACACTCTGTAACAGGTAAGTATGTGGATTGTATCAAATACTTAGGTAACTTATTTGTCAAAAACAAACCAAGTACATTTTGAAGATAATTGCTGTAGAGCATTGTCTTGCATAAAACTGTGATGCAATTCTTCAGTTCTATATATAGTTTTTCAGTAATTGTTTTGTATTGATTCATTTATGTTCTTATGGTTCATAAAAACCTAGGAAAATTAAAATAATTGTAGTTTTATGGTCATTGTGGCTAGTGCACTGAAGATCTGGAGAAAACAGCTAAAATAATACAGTGTAAGAACAAAATTTGATTGAACTTGTGTCTCTGTGTTTAAACAAGATCTTTGACATTTGCACATTTCTGCATTCTACTGTCATACATTAATTTTCAATTACTCATAGGGCCAAAATAGTAAAAACCAGAATGAAATCTTGAACATGCAGCAGTACCTGGTCTTTCAAAGTGAAATTTAGGAGTTAGACTTAATGTTTTAAAGTATGAAAGAACAAAAGTTTGTTGCTCGTTAGAGCATATAAACTTGTCCTCCATTTAAGTATTTTAATTCGACCATGCACTAAAACTCTTTGTTAAACTAAAGGCAGTCTACCATCAAGTTTGTCTGGGCCAGATGCTTTTCTAGCTTTTATTCTAAATTCTTCCAGTTCAGTCATAGGCACATTCTGAGCACTGTATAAAATATATTTCAGTGCTGCAGGAATTTGTGCAAATGGCTGGGCCATTAAGCTGTAAAATATAAGTAGTGAAATTCCTATACAGCAATACTTAATTGTGACTAATGCTAAAACTATGACATTGAAAGGACATTTAAATACATTATTTTTAAATGTATGCTGCTCTCTGTTTTGAAATTATACTATTTCCCTCTGTTTTGACTGCCTGTGCTATATGTCTTTAACATAAGCTGTGCTATACATGTAATATAGATACATATGTATCTGTATGTGTCTATATGTATGCACATTATTCAAAATACTGGAAAATAATTATATACTTTTTTATTAATATAGCTTGATTTGAATTGAAAATATAAGGAGGATTGCTTTACGTTTGAATTCTTTGTCAAGGAAGTACATCCACAGTAATTATAAATGGATAGGTGCTTCTGAAAAAATAATAGAAAGTCTAAGAAAATCCTTGCAAATCTTAGATCAGACATTTTTCATTACTAATGCCTAAAACAATCTAATCTCATCAGTCTTATCATTTGGCCAAAAGCATATTCAAGTCTCCTTTAAAAGAAACATATCATCCGTTGGAGAATGTAATTTGGCTTGTTTATATACTAAGCATTTTCTCAGTGTCTTCTCCAATAATATTCTGTGTTTCTGATCTTTGCATAATTTTTGACTCTCATTATGTCAATAAATTCTTTGTGTTCTTAGCCTTCCCAATGGTCTGCTACCATTACAGGGAGAGTGATTTGGCACAAATTTGTTTACATAATAAAGATTCATGTTGTGTGATTGTATTTTTCAAATATAATTACTTTCCTGCAAATATCGTATTATACTTCAAAAATGAGTGCAGTATTTGTTTTTCTTGCCTAGATAATGATGAATATGTTCTCTAATGTTATTCTTCCATCTGAGAAGTACAGATTTTACAAAAGTAGCAAGCAGAATGTGAGTAATTTTAAAGGACGAGAACTTTTGGTACCTGCAGTGGCAAGAGCAATTGTTCAGAACCTGGAACTAAATAAACAGCGTTTTAAAACCTTCAGTGGGGAAAGAAATAATGAAACATTGTGAACATAAGGCTTCAAAACATACCTGAGATTACAAAAATAGAGTTCACACCTTTTATTGCTTATAACTTTTGAACTCAGGGGTTAAAAGGCTTTTATATAAAAGGCAGAACTAACCTATATGCCAGGTGTAAAAAGTGTCAACTTTAAAATGATCTGCTGTACAATGCTATATCCAAACCCTGAATTTGTAAAATCAGTAAAATCATAGTATGTAATACTGCCTGAAAGGGTTTTTCTTGCACTGATTTTGTTCCCATTGTCTGATACTGACACGTACCCATTCAGGACAAGTTGTCTTTCCCTTTTCTATCTATTTGATCAGCTCTATCTAGACACTCCAATATAATACTTCATATATTAAAGTGGTATTCCTGAATGCTGCTATGGAAAGGAATTTCCTCATTTTCAGCATTTATATAGACCAGTCATAAATTTATTTGAACTGTTCATTAGAATTCCATTGAATAAGCTAACTTCCAAACACAGAATTGTATCCCTTGTCTTGACATTGTACAAACAATTTATATAGTTATAAGGACCCTAGGTTTTTTATTGTTGTAGCAGATCACTGACGTGCAATATTATGGGGTAGTTTTCATTTTACATAAGCATAGCCTGAGGCACACCTTGAAATTAGGGAGGCTACTTACTTTCAGTATTTCTGTAACACAGGGAGAATAATTGTGTATGCATCAATGTATAAAATATATTACAGACACTCTTTCTTTTATAAGATTTGTCAGCACCATGAAAGAACTATTGCAGTCCTTTTTGTGTTTGGCCAAAGAACTTCACCCCACAGTTTCTGCATCAAACCCTTAGTTTCCATCTGGAATTAGCACATCAGATAAGCTATTTGTTTTCTAGAGTGATAATTTTCTACTAAACGGTAATATAGTCTCAGTGGGTTTAGTATGGACTCCTTAATAATGTAGATAGAATTAAAAAACCACCATCAAGTATTTTAGCTCTATGTTTGAAAAACCAAGGAATAAGAAATCTGTGACTTGCTTTTTTTGCCCATTCAGAGGATGCTTACCAGAAAAAGTTGTTAGGTTTTTTAATTGAATGAAGAGTGAAATATAGCTCAAAGGAGAAAAAATTTCTTCATACTACAAGTCTAAACCATTGTGTGCTGCACCTTTGATTATCTTCATTAAGATGTTATGTCCTGGAATTTGAAAACATGAGAATTTTTGAATTAATTCACACTCACATTCTGTATAAGAAAAAATATCTAATTTAAATAGAATTGCAACTTAGAAGCCTACAAAATATACCTTTCAAGTATATTTTGAATCTGTTTTATATGGTAAAACATTTTAAAGCTCAAACTTTTCTGTTTCTTACCTAAGGGAATATCTAATAGGAAACAAAAAAATAAAAATGTGAAAACTTTTGACGTGTCAAATCATATGTATACAGAAAATAATTTTCAAAATGTTAGTGTTTGTAAAAAAACTATAACCAACCCTCTGATTTTTGTATTACATAAACGTTATTTTTAAAGTTATGGTATTTAGAATGTTATGCAATACACTGTAATTTTGTAAATTTTTTTAGCTCTAACTTGAACTTTGCAGGATCAGTGCCTAAACTCTGTTGCATCTTCAAGCGATGTTTTGTAGCATCAGTGTTGAATAATCAGTAATTGTGGGAAATACCTTGTATATGTCCAAAGTGCAATAAAAGGTTCAATATATAGCTTCCGTGTTTTTATTTTGTTGATTTCTGGACTTTAGCTCTAGAAGTGTTATCACTATTTTCTATAGTTTCATTTGTGTACTTTTAGATTTACACAAAGGTGTATATGGCATGTTGATCCGTGGTATCCAAAGCTGAGCTGCGGCAAGGCGGCTCATTCCCTGTGGGATTGCTGTAGGGGCATGAAGGCAGAGGGAAGGAAACTTGTAGCTATATTCCATTACAGTAGCTCACTAAAACTACAAGACTTTATTTCCAGCTAGATCCTTGGTTTTGAAACATCAGTCCTTCCATTTAGTCCTGAGGTGGTCGTATCAAAACTGTTTCAGTTATTTCTTCTTGCAACTTCAGTTGGAGAGCAGAACCTACCAGCTACTTAGCAGAGCAGCGGTGCCGAGGGCCGTCCCCGGGCCTGCGCTCCGCCGAGCGCAGCACGGGCCTGTGTTTGCCACCGTCAGCGGCCGCTCCTGCCGGGCCCGCCCCCGGCCCGGGGCTCGCCACGTGTCGCGGCGGCTGCGCAGGCGGCGGTGGGGCGGCGCGGCCGGGCCGGCGGCGCGGGAAGATGGCGGCCGGGATCCGGGAGAAGCAGACAGGTGAGCGCCCGCCCGCGGTCCCGGCGCTCGGGCGGGGGAGCGGGGCCGGCCGCCGCCGCCGCGCTGCCTCGGTCCCCGCGGGGCGGGCTGCGGGCGCCGCCGCGGATTCGCGCCCTCTCACCCGGCTTGGGTCTCCCGGCAACGGTGGCGGCCCCTCTGCCGCCTTCTCCTCGCCTCCGGGGCGGCGGGCCCGAGGCGGCGGGGCTCCGGAGCCTCGGGCCGCAGGTCTCGCAGGGGGACCCCCGCCCCGCTTGGGCCCCAGGCCCCGGGGACGTGGCCGTAGGTGCCGCCGAGGTGTGGAAGGCGCTCCCGGGCGGGACTTGGCCGGGCCCGGGCCGTGAGCGGTGCCTTCTCCCGCGGCCGTGGGAGCGAGCGCACCCTCCGCTTCGGTTTCTTTCTGCCCGTGGGAAAGACCGACAGGAAATAGCGTTTAATGGTGCAGAAATAAAGTTACTGTTGTCATGTTCTTGTTAAGACAATACGGGGGCATCCATGTCTGTACTGACCCTCGAGAAGTTGGGAATACGATAATAACAACTAAACTAATTGTGCATGAGGATTTCTGTGAGTAAAGGGTTTGTTAGTTCAGTCCCTTCTTAGACATTGCTGGGAGTCCTTAATTGATTCTTCTCTGCCTTGATGCTGCTTTGTAAAGCCTTGGACATACTCCTAGAGCTCAGGGGATGTCAGCTCCTTAGTCCTCTACTTCCCTTGTTTGCCAAAGTTGTAGTCAGTAGTTAAGCTGTAATCATGACACTCTCTCCTTGACAGCTGCAGTATCTTTGGTGGTACAGAGGATTCTGGATGCATTTGGTTAGCATGAAATATTTCAAATCATCTGCCTAAAAATCTCAGTCACAGTCTCTGTGGACATTAAATATTTTACTAGTATGCTTAATTTTTTGGTACCAGTCTACTTTTTTGTAATCTCATTCCTCTGCCATCTACCACTGATAGTTCTGTTTGATGTTCTTCTGAAGTCTTTGCTTATCTTCTCTTTGCTGTCTTTCTAATAAAGCCTATTTTCTTTGAGTGCGTATTCTGTTCAGCTTTATTCTTTTCTGTTCTGTTTCACTGTGTTCATAGGGTGGTGTGGGTTGAAAGGGACCTTGAAGATCATCTCTCATTCTAACTCCTTGTCTGCTATGGCCAGGAACACCTTTCACTAGGTTACTTAAAGCCCCATCCAGGCTGGCCTTGAACAGTTCCAGGTATGGAGTATCCATAGCCTCTGTACAGGCAGTTCCAGAGCCTCATGACCCTCATAGGGAAGAATTTTTACTTTATATCTCATCTAAACCTACTGTCTCCATTTAAGGCCATTCCCCCTTGTCCTGTCACTACATGCTGTTGTGAAAGGTCCCTCTCCAGGATTCTTCTAACTCCATTTAGGTACTGGAAGGCGCTATAAGTTCTCCCTGGAGCCTTCTCTTCTCCACGCTGAGCAAACCCAGCTCTCTCAGCCCTTCCTCATAGGAGAGGTACTCCAGCCCTCTGATCATCTTGTTATTCCTCCCTGGACTTAATCCAACAGGTTCGAGTTCTTCTTATGTTGGGTCCGGATGTGGGCACGGTACTCCAGGTGCGATCTCACCAGAGGAAAACAGAGGGGCAGAATCCCCTCTCTCACCCTGCTGGCCACACTGCTTTGGATGCAGCCCAGTTGGCTTTCTGGGCTGCAGGTGCACATTGCCAGGTCATGTCAGGTTTCTTATGCACCAACACCCCCAAGTCCTCCTCAAAGTTGCTCTAAATCCATTCTCTGCCCAGCCTGTATTTGTGCTGCAGGAGCTTGCACTTGGCCTTGCTGAACTTCCTGAAGTTTGCACGGGCTCCCCTCTCAAGCCTGTCAAGGTGCCTCTGGATGGCCTCCCTTCTCTCCATCTTTTTGAGGAGGAATTTCTTCATGGAAAGGGTTAAACATTGGAATGAGCTGCCCATGGAGGTGGTAGAGCCACCATCCCTGGAGGTGTTCAGCTGGATATGACACTTGGTGCTGTGGTCTGGTTGACAAGGTGGTGATCCGTCAAAGGTTGGACTCGCTGATCCTGGAGGTCTTTTCCAGCCTGAATGATTCTGGGATTTTGTGACCGTACACAGCTTGATGTCATTGGCAAACTTGCTGCAGCTGCACTCAGTCCCACTGTTCATGTCACCAATTGTTGCTTGATTATTTCAGTCAGCCTTTACAACTGAATCCATGATGTCTTCTGTTAAGGAGGTCTTTTCCAAGGAGCTAGATTCAACAACTAAAATGTACTCAGAAAAATGTTTCTTATCATTTAGTTATGGTCTTACCATGTATGTGCACCATCTGTTGTGACCTTTATCCTGGTTCATAACCAGGATTGGTTTCATAACAGAAGCATATCATTGTGCAAGCACAGTAAAAACCTGATCCTTGCCCAGAGAACATTCACCATTAGTATAAATGAAATGACAATATGAATACAGAAAAGGAACTCGGGCACTTGCTGAATGTTGACATGATTGTCACAGCACGTTACCAGTTTGATTACTCTTTCTTGGCAGAGAGCTTATGCTAAGTTTTACTTTAGATGTTAAACTCTTCAATGCAGCTGCTTCAGCGCCAGTAGTACCAAAGCACATAACCATACAGCTTTATATAAAATTGCTCATATGGCTAAAGATGTCACCAGCAGTGAGGGGCCAAAGAACCCAGGAGCATCCTGTAATCAATTTTCAGAGCTGCTTCATGGTGTTTAATGAAGAAAAGAAAAAAGTATGGAGCAAGTTGAAGGCTGGAGCCCATCAAGACTCAATGCTCAATGATAGCTTGGATTTTCCCACATTTGTGTTTCACTTCTAGTAGTGTTGTTTGAAAGGGCAGTACACAGGAGGAAGCAGAGCATCAGAAACACTGCCTGGCCTTGGAGAGATGATATTGGGAAAGCCAGAGTTCTACTGAGGTTGAGCTGTGCAGCATGTATCTCGAGAAAGGAGAAGTGCTTGTGCTGCAACATTAGTAGCAAAAATGTAATTAAGAAAAGAGGTTGGATCCTTGCTAAATGGAGCTGCTCATTTAATGGTGATAGACACAGATAGGGCTGAGGTAACCAGGGCTGCTTTTGCTTCAGTCTTCACCTACAAATGCTTCCAGGCCTTAGTGTCACTTTGGAGTCAATCACTGAGTGAATCATGTTGGAAAATACTTCTCTTCACATGAGGGAAAATGCATGCATGAATTTATGTATGGTAAATCATACCTGACCAGCCTAATTGTCTTCGGTGATAAAATGACTGGGTTTGTAGGCAACAGGACAGGATTATTTAATTTACCTTGACTTCAGCAAAGCTTTTGACACCATGGTGTTAATATCCAAGTTAGGATGTCGTGGACTAGATGGATCAACAACTAACTACATTAAAAAAACTGGATGGATGGTCAGGCTTAGAGGGTTTGTAATTAATCAGACATAATTACCTAGAGGCTGGTAACAACTAGAGCACTGCATGAGTGTATTCTGTGACCCCTGCTGTTTAAAATGTCTATCAGTCACCTGGAGGGCATGTCAGAGTGTACTCTGATTAAAAGTGTGCAGGTGACAGCAAACTCGGAGAATCTCTTCTGCTTGAGGGCTGAGCTGCCATTTGGAGGCACCTAGATGGGCAAGAGGAATGGGCCAGCAGAGATCTTATGAAACTTAACGATGACAAATTCCTGCCCTTCTGAAGGAAGAGCCCCTTGCACATACAGGCAGCAGTGTGGGGGGTTGCCAGACTGGAGAGCAGCTCTGCAGAAAAGACCTGCAGGGGTTCCCAGTGGACCATCAGCTGGAGGGAGTCAGCAGGGACTACTACCAAGGTGGTCAGAGGCTCAGGTGAGGCTGTAGCACCAAGGCTTGTTCTGCCTGCATTGTTCTCCAGGTGGCTTCAGGGTGGACCTTGCAGCAGCTCCCCAATACCTATGGGCAGCACTGAGAAGGAACCAGACCCCTTTGTAGTGGTGTATGGCAGTACAGTGAAGCACAACAGGCATAAATTGTGTACCATAAACAAGATGTTCAAACTGGATGTAAGGAAAAGCTTTTTCTCCACAAGGACTCAGTGCCACAGGTTGCACAATGTGGTTGTGGCATCTTCATCCGTGGAGAGCTGACTGCATAAAGCTCTGAGCAGCCTGGCGTAGCCTCAGAGCTGAGCCTCCTTAGGCAGGAGGCTGGACTGGAGGTCTTCCAAGGTCCTCTCCAGCCTGACATGACTTGTGATACTGGAATCCCAGGAACTGCACTATGTTCATTCAGCCAGAGTCAGAAGACAATTGTTTCTACTGCTCTCTATTTATGAGCTGAGTGGTATCCATCACTCTAATTTCTGCAAGATTTTTCTCTTTGCAAAACTCTGTGATGATTTTGTTAGGAGTTTTAAGAGAATCAGCACTATAGCACGAATAGTCTTTTGCTGCTAGTCAATGATGGGAGAGCAGCACATACTGTGTTGTTTAATCAGATAAATGAGGAAAGATACATTACGTAATAGATTTATAATTTAGAGGTAGGTAGAACAATCTCCTTTGGTTTGTATGTGGAATGGAAAGTTAAATTAAAGTTCATTCATCTTTCAGAGTTTTCCTGCTACAAACTAAGGCTACTTTTGTATCTTAAACCAGCAATTTCTTCATATGAGTTCTCAAAATCTTTCAAACTGTGTATTGATTTTAGGCAGGCATAAAGGTATTTTTTGTTTGGTGTGTACAGTGGTGTTCCTGTGGGGTAGGAAAAGCAGATTGGGGAATAAAGCAAACTAGTTCCCACTGGACAGAAAGCACCTTCAGGAAGATACTGGAATTAGTTTTAAGGCAAACCTTGTTAGAATATAGCCTGTATAACTAAGGAGAATAAATGTTTTAGAACTTGCTTCTTTGCCTTTTGCTGTGTCCTCTGGAGTCCATAAATTCTACCAGATGCAAGCCACTTGTCAGTCAAAGCTGCATAAAAATAATGAAAATGTGACTTGTTTTATTTATAATTTGCAATGGTTTTCCTTTCAAATGGTTTTCCTTTCAAATGTATAATAAAACCCTGCTAAAGTCTTTAAGTCACTGTTTTTGAAGTGTAAAGAGAGCAAAGCATTCTTTGGCTTTATTTTCCAGTGGCTTTGAAACGTATGCTGAACTTCAATGTTCCTCCAGTTAAAAACAGCACAGGAGAACCAGTATGGAAGGTAAGAACTTTTGGAACTGGATCATGAGAATTCTATGGTGTTCAGAGAGGTTCAGATTTGCAGATTTTAACGTAATCGAGTTCATCTTTCTTGTGTTGTTAACTTGTACAAAATATTTTTCCTGTATTGTAAGTACACACACTTGAGAATCAGAACTGCTGAAAAAATACCAGAGTCAGAAAGAAGCCCATACAAATGGAAGAACTATTGATAGCTTGAAGAATCTGAGCTCAGGACAGCTTTGTTAACTTTAAAATGTAACTTGTAGGTCATGAGTTTTTGCTACTACAAAGCCTATATTCTGTCTCTTTATCCCTTGTCTTTTTTCACTAATTCCTATTTTCTCTTCTGATTTTCCTCTTGTCTTCTCCCAAATGCAGTCAGGAAAACTCAGCACATACAATAACAAACTTTAAACAGCAAACTCTTGTTTGACAAGACACTTTTCAGGAGATGGAAGTGATGGTTCTGTTTCCCCCTTTATCACTGAGTTTCCCTTGGTTTTTCTTTTATATTTTATTTATTTGTAAGCACAGATGGAAGTCCATGACAAATTAATGGTTTATTGTAAATTGGTAGATGTTTAGATGTTGAAGCACTTTTGAAGTTAGGGTAGCAGTTCCCTAAACCTGGATTCCTGTATCCACTGTATTCTACAGTATCCACTTTTTACAGCACTTCATAAGATGATGTGTATCTGTTTCAGGTTCTCATTTATGACAGATTTGGCCAAGATATCATCTCACCTTTGCTGTCAGTGAAAGAGCTGAGGGATATGGGGATCACTTTGCATCTGTAAGTTCTTTTAAAAAATTGGGAATTCTTTTATAAAAAGAACATTATTTAATATTCCCCAAAATAGTTAACAAATCGGTGAAAAATCATTGAATAAATAACTGCTAGAATAAAAATTATAAACTTATTAGACTTGTTCCTAAAATCAGATGCCATTATGCAGAATCAAGGAATGGAGAGATCATTCCAAACAATGTTCACTAGGATTTCTTGCTCAAAACAGGAGGCCCTTGTTCAAAAATAAAAATTATCCAGTAGGTATTCTTTTGGTATTTGTGTCTACAAATCCTTTTGCAGTCATATATGTTACAATTGTATTGGCACAAACTGTTTCATGAGACTGTGTATGTTCTTTGCTTGTCTTTTTACACATAGATTTTACTTGTCTGCTGTCAAACATATGAAATCTTTAGGTATGATTTTAAGAGATTTCTCATGTCTTTTTCCCAGATTACATTTACCTAGTCCATTGTCATTCCTTAGCTGTGGTAATAGTCATGAAGAAACTTTGAACATAATGTGTATTTTTTTCCAAGTTTATTAACTTTTGCTAAGTGAAGGCTAGAAATGGAAACAGTTTAACCTGCTTACAAATCAGCAGAAACATGAGAAAAACATGTAAGCACCTTGTCTTCAAGCAGGAAAGGCAAGTTCAATAGAATTAAATATAGTGGTTTTTTACCACAGCAGCAGTTCACATGTGAACTTCATAGGTGCAGTAATTTAGCTTCCTCTGAATAGATAATATGTTTTTGAACATTTGTAAAGCCTTTTCTCAAGCTTTGAATAAATTTTGAACACATCTATTAATATTTTCAGCCAAAAAATACACAAATGTGATTTCTTTTCTTGCTACAACTCTAGCTAAATATAGAAGGAAATTGTAGGAAATTTCATTTGTCTGTACCAATAAATATTTTCTTTAACTTTTTAAATTTTATACATATCAGAGAAAAAACACATTGGACATGTCATTTTTTCTTCCTGTCAGGCTTTTGCATTCAGATCGGGATGCTATTCCTGATGTTCCAGCTGTTTACTTTGTAATGCCAACAGAAGAAAATATTGACAGAATGTGCCAGGTAACTTGCATCTGTAATTTTTCAAAAGGGCCCACACAACAATGTGTGTGGAGAAATCCTGCACTCACCAGAATGTGACTGTAACTACTAGCACAGATTTGTCAGAAAAGAATTACCCAAAATATTATAATGCAAAACTTCAATTTCCCAGCAAGTTGAAAGGTAAACATGTCTCGTGTTTCAGAGGGACTTAGGGGAGTGAAAAGATAGAAGGCAGTGGGTACAAATATTCCATTTAACAATAGAAGAAGCTATTTTAACGAGGTTGGCCAATCACTGGAACAGATTGCCTGGAGAGTTTGTGGAGTCTCCATCCTTGGAAAGGTTCAAAACCTGACTGGGCACTATCATGAGCCACCTGCACCTTTTGAGACTGCTTTGAGTGGGAAGATTGGATTAGGCTAATCCTCAATTTTTCCCATTTCTGGTAAGGAGGTGGATGGAAAGTTGACATCTTTGCCAGAATAAGGAGAAGAGCAAAGGGTATTTTTGGTCAGCAGTAAGGTGTGGAATAGTAATTGCTGCCCTTTAGCTTAAGTGTCATTTCCTGGTTTTTTGCAGTTCTGTGGTAGGTTGTTTATATCGGGATATGTAATCAAAACACCATGTTTTGATTCATTTTCATAAAAAGAGCTGTATAAGCAGAGAGCTAAGCACTTCTGAAGGTTTAGTTTGATTGTGGAAAACTGTAACATTACATAGTAACAGTATGATTTCTTCTTTTAATTAGTCAGGAATGTATTAGTACTTATTCAGGAAAATTTTCCTTTCTTTTAGGATCTTCGAAACCAGCTTTATGAGTCTTACTATTTAAACTTCATTTCTGCCATTTCAAGAAGTAAACTGGAAGATATTGCAAATGCTGCTATAGGTGCTAATGCAGTGACTCAAGTGGCTAAGGTAAGAAAGTCCCCCAGACCCTAATATTAGCACCATTAAAGGTATAAGACTGCATTCTCATTTTCAGGCATACTGGGGAAGAAAGCAGAACCTACAGCCATCCCAATAATGCAGCTTAGTACCATACTTCAGCTGTCAAAACTCAAAGTGTTGTAAGACTTTTGGGCTAAATGATTGGAGGGGAAATACAGTGGTTTCAGAGGATTCTTGATCACATCAGTTGAATGAGTGCTTGCAGTGCATATGTTTCTGTATTATTTCTAAAATAAACAAAAAGAGCAGTAGGAGTGCAGTTCTCATTTGAAATAATAGTTTATATGTACACTTCTACTGAGTACTCTCCTGCACCTTTATGATTTAAAGGCATGTGTTAGAGATTTACTTTTATTTTTGTGAATGGCTGCACTAAAATCTTTAAATTACCAAGTAATGCACTTAAACACATTCACCATTTTTCACTCCAGCTGGTACTACTGGCATGAGAGAAAGAAAACATTGTGAAATAAAATGAACAGTACTAGTAGTGTTTAAGCCTTAGGTCCTCAGCAGCAGGAAATTAGTATAGCACTGTAAACTAACTTTCTTAAACCTGTTTTTGAGCTGTGATGTCTCATTAGTAGTTTATGCTATAGAGGAGTTTAATTTTTTTCCTGAATGCACATGGTGTTACAGAAAAGTTAAAATCCATGAGCTGTAATGTTTTATTGTTCAGATATTGCCCTCTTTCTTCTCTCCTGCCTGAGAGCTCAGTGCTGATTATGTTGTAGTCCTTCATATTCATAAAAAGTGAACCTATAATATTAAAATGTCCTCCACATGTGTTTTTTCAGTGATACTTGGCTGCTGAAACTTTGTGCACAGAAAGAGTTGAAGTTGACAGCTCTGGCACTTTCCAGTTCATTAATATTTTGGGTTAATCACTCAACCCTTACACAGGCTTTTTAATTCATAAATTATATCTTGCTTTTTTTTTAATAGATGCTTCTGTAAAATATAGCAGTAAATCACATACAGGTTTTTTTATGTTTCACTCTGGGTTATTCTGACCATTTTTCCTTGCTTTCTAGGTGTTTGATCAATATCTTAATTTTATTACTTTAGAAGATGATATGTTTGTATTGTGTAACCAAAACAAAGAACTTGTTTCATACCGTGGTAAGTAGAATTTATATAAAAATTATACAGGAATGTCTGAAGTTGAAATTTACTTTTGAAGTTGTAGCTAATAACCAGCAATTACCTTATTTTGATTTGATTTGCTCAGAATTCAGGATAATCTGTTAGACATGTAAAATCATGAAAGAAGCAGTTCTTAGATATTCATTGCAGCATCTTTTTTTACATGGTGATTGTAATACTGTAAAATAAATACAAAGTGAAACTGTGGTATAGACATTTATAACACTTTTTATGCAGCAAATAACACTGGAAAAATTACATATTATTTCCACATGGGGTAGTCACTGTGGGTGGGAAAGAGCATTCTAGACAATAAGCAATACTGATTTGCTTCTGCAAGCAGGTGAGCCAGGCATGTCATCTTCTTCATAAAGTTTCAGAGTTGCAAGTGAAGTCATCCTCCAGGAACTCTTTTTACTCAAAACTTCTGTTCAACTTGGTTTGGAACCTAGCAGGAAAAGCAAGTGGCTGCCTTAGATCAGTTACCTTGGTGCTGTGGCAGCTCAAGTCAACATACATACTAGCTGTCATAATTGTCCACATGATTTTCCTTCCTCCATTGTGCTGATTTTATGTAGACCACTGACCCATTCAGTGTGCTAAATGTACAGAGAACCACCACTCCACCACTCCTGCCCCTTACTCTGGGGGCAGATGTAACTCACAGATATTAACAGGATATGTTGTGTGGCTGCTTCTGCTGTAGTTTTACTCTTCCTTTCTTTTTTCATCAGAACCAGTAATTTCAGAGCTGTAGGGTGTGTTTAATTGACTCGTTCCTTCAAAAATACCAACTCATTTATGTGATGTACAAATGCAGTTAAAGGGAAGAAGCAGAAGTCAAGATAGTCCAATTTTTGCAGCAGCTCATCATTGCTTTAGTATAGTTACAAAGTCACACAGCTAATTCCTGGTGCATGAAATACTCCTTAGTGACCAGATAGAGATGAGAAGTCTCTGTATATCTGATATTTAGCTGTGAGATTTTTCTGCTTTCTTGCCCAATATCTGAAGTCAGTACCTTTTCTTTAAAACTGGATCCATAATAACTGAGATGTGTGCCACACACTGGGTGTCTCACACTGGGGATTGATTCCACTGGCAGAATGAAGGGCATTTTTGTTTGAAAAGCAGATTTTTTTTTTTTCACTAAAACCTGATGTTGAAAGTTTTAATACTAATTATTTTGTGATGTGTTCCTGTGTATATAATTAATTGACTGTCATAAGATTCCTTTTGCTGACAAGGAATTTGAATTAAGATGACTGAAAACGTTTTACACCCATCAGTTTCTATCTGGCTTGTTTTCCTGTCTTGGGCTGCTGAAATTTGCCAGCATGTTTAAACCAATGTAGAAGTGGGCTGTTTCCAAAAGCTCAGGGAGCAGAAATCTGATCCCCCACAGAGAGTGATGAGTTTTCCATTAGAGCTTGGTAGCTGATCTGCCTCATTGTGTGAGTTCTGGATCTGGCACAGACAGGCAGTAGGAGTGCAGAGGTGAGGAAGAGGTGGGCTTTTTTGCCTGGGGAGAGTATCACTAGCAGGGGACTGCCAGTTTATAATCTGCAAAAGTCAGTGTAATCTGAGGGTACGTAAAGATGGCTGCTATTCTTGCAGCAGCACTGCTTTGTGTGACCACAAAGGTGTCTGGATGGGTGAGCTAAAATCAAATATCACAAAACAGGTTAATTTTCAGTTTCCTGATTCCTTGGCTGTCTGACTGCTTTTACAAAGAGATAATGTCAGGACAAATAAGCAATATAAAATCCTTCAATTGTGTGAAAGACTTTCCTACACAGAAGGGACACAATACATTCTTTCTGTTTAGTAATGAACAAGAAGTGATGAATTTAAATGCAACAAGAATGTTTCTGATCAGATGTTAGGAGCATTTTCTAACTTTAAAAATAATGAAATATTAGATTACCTGTAAATATTATGGTATTTTTGTGACTGGGAAGTTCTTTGAATTAGTTTAGATGCAGAAATTACATGGGTTTAACTCATCTTTGAACAGGAGGACCAGCTAGTTAATCCCTCAGGCTCCCTCTGATTCTGTTTTCCTACAACAGTGTATAAGGAAGAGTAAATGAGTAGTATTGGTATAAAGTTGATATTTGAGACATCCTGTTTCATGCTATTTGAGTGCTTCTTTACCATTCTTTACAATTTGGTTGAATTTTGTAGTACAACAGGAAAATGTAGGACATCTATGCTTACTTTTCTGTAATAGATGCATTCCCCATAAGCTTGTTAGAGTGGAGAGAGAAAAACTTATAGAAAACATGGCAGAACATTTTACCAAAAGATTCTTAATGAAGTTTCTCAAAGGTTGATCTAATTTAATTAATTATCTGTGTTGGTTGGTACAAGAAAAGGAATGTGCTGATAAAAAGTTCATGGTAGACAAAATTAGAAGGCACTGACAGTGTGCAGATTAGTGAACACCAGAAATGAGTACTTTAAACATATTAACAGGATGGGAAATAAATTTTAAAATTGGAAAAGTTAAGAGAGTAAAAATGAGGTTTTTTCCTCCCTGTAAAGTGGGAGACCATTAGTTGGAGATAACTGCAGAATGATAGCCCCCAGTGAATTTCTTCAAAGCTTTGTCATTATAGAAAAATACAGATATTGGGAATGGTCTGCTTTTCTTAGTGCTGATATATCAGAAACTTGAAACTTGTATTGCTCTTGTCAGCCCAGTCAGAACTTTAGCTTACTAAGGGTAGTTGCTAAAATATAATCCATGTCTCTAAAGTTCTTACAGGAGAAAAGCTGGGAGGAAAAAAGCACCTTTAAAGTTATAGAATGGTTATGGCTGTCCATGCATAAATTTAGGATGGGAGGCTTTTTAATATTTAGAGCTTTGAAATTCATTTTTGAAGAAAGAGGATAAGACAGGTAATTATGTGAGAAATTTTTAAAGGTAATGTAAAACAAACAAAGATAGGATGTATGGCATGAATCCTAGCTAGTGCTTGACTTGAGATCTGTGATAAGATTTGGTTTGATGTTTCCTGTTGGCTATTTTATTCTTGTCAGGGTTAGTTACTTAAGAGAAATGTTGCTGCAATTTCTTGTGTTTGACCTAAATGTGGGAAGGAAATCTCTCTTATCTGTCAAGTACAATGTTTTATAACTATGGGAATTACCCCTAATTTAGAGACTGATGATGAATTTAGGAGAAAAAAAAAGGAATCTCCATACAAGAGGTGGTATTTAGAAATTTTAAATATAAATAACTGCATTCTGTAATTATTTTATACCGGTAGTTCTTGAGGATTTTCTTCCTGAAAGTGTTAGCCAAGTGGATGGCCATTTCTCTTGTATACCATTTCTTAGTAGGTTTTTGTTTATGCAATAATAACAATACAAAAGATATGTGTGCAGTGAGAGAGACTCAGAAATTGTTGTATAGTGTTTGGCCTTCTACAGTAACCAATAATTTTGCCAGTTTTTTTCTCAGAATGGAAAAGGGAGTGGAAACTAACAGGTGTGTTGAGAGGGGCATTTCAGGATGTAATCTCTTCTGCAACAAAAGTTGTTGACTACTAACAGCCATCAGATAAGTAGAGGATTGCTCTCTCGCTATTAAAATGGCATAAACTTATTTAACCCTGTTCTCTTTTCCACACTGTTTTAGCCATTAACCGACCAGATATAACAGACACAGAAATGGAAACTATAATGGACACTATTGTTGATAGTCTCTTCTGTTTTTTTGTTACACTTGGTAAGTTTCCAAATTCTAGCATATTTTCCATATTCAGTTAGATAACTAGAAGTCTAGTGATTTCATATAGAAAATTAAAAGCAGAATTAGATCTGTGACCAAAATCTCAAATCATTCACAGGGTGGGATAATGATCTTGCTCAAATATCACTGCTTTCTATCACTCAAATATCTTGCTTTATGTCACTGCAAAGTACAATAAAGGTTGGCCTTCATGGGAGTTGAGTCTTAGTCTTCAGTACCAGTGGGAGGAGAATACTGAAGGGCAAAGTTTTGGATGCTAGGTTCGAATAAAATTCTAGTTTGAAATGAAGATAATAGTGCTTTAAGTTTAGATTTGTCATTCTCCAAAAAAAAAACCAATCCCCTAAACACCACAGAGTTAGAAGAAAAAATTCCTCACACAAACCCTGCAAAGATCTAACTGAAATAACTTCCTAACGGAATAGGAAGATAAATTAAGTTTACTTATTTTATTGTGAGTTTCCTTGATGCTTAGCTGATACATTTTTCATAGTGATGACTTTTAACTTAAGTTGTAACTGAAATTGGTCCATCTGAGATAGCTTTCCTACAAGGGGAGCTGGGGATTGCCATGGGGCAGTCTCTTCAAGAGAGATTCCCTTGGACCCATTCAGTTCTTTCAAGTGTTAGTATGATACAAATTAATGTCTTTTCCTCAGTCACTTAAAATCTGTGGTTTTGGAATTTTCATATTTGTATAGATAAGTGTGAGACTGTAGCTAAATGTTTTGAAACCTGAAAGCCCCTGGAAAATGTGCTTTTGAAAATAGCATTACCATAGATAGATAGTCCTGGACATAGCAGTGAGTTGTAACAGATACATTGTGGTGGTATAATACTTATTATTGTGTACAAGGGACTTCTGATCTTTTGAAAATAACTTCTAATGCATCTGCATGAGATAGTTTGTCCCCTCCAACAGTGGATGAGCTTTCTTTCTAATATCTACTCTATTTCTCATAAATTGTTGTATGGGGTATTCACTTCTGTAAAACTTTATTTAATATTTCTATATAGTATTTTTCATTTCATAGAAAAAGACTGCAAGAGAAAAGTTAAATGTAAGTTTGTATTTAATCTCAGAATGTTAGTTAAAGTTGTTTATAAAAAGTAATGTAATACAGAATCTGAAAATGACAATGCATGTAGAAGTCAATGTATCTTTTATTAGGGGCAATACCTATAATCAGATGCTCAAGAGGAACTGCAGCTGAAATGGTGGCAGTGGTAAGAACTGTTTTTCTAAACACCTATCATTGCTTTACCACTTTCCAAACATCACTTTTGCTTTTCTCAGTACTAGACAGAGATCTAGTGTCATTGTATCCTTCTCCTTATGAAGGAAAAAAAACTGGAAAGGAGATACATTCACTTTCCTTTCTGATTTCAGTTCCACAGAACTTCTGTAGAAACTGTAGTGTTAGGGAATCAGATAATGGGAAACTTTAATATAAATAGTTATTCCTAATCTAGAGTTTATCAAGATTTTCTAATATGCATTATAATTAAGCTGCATCTATAAGTTAAAAAGTGGCTGTTGGACCTGTGTTCCTCTGTGTGTATCAGTAAGAAATGTTGATCTATCTTACTGGGAAACCCTGCAAGTACAAGACATTTTTAGTATAGCAAATTAAACTGACATTGAACTTGATCATCAAATAGGAATGGAATGACCAAACTAAATCACAATTAACAACCTCTACAGAAGTGTCTTCGTTGGGAGTCACTGGGGTTCATTTCTTCCATCTTCTTTGCATTTTCTTTGTCAGTGAAATGGTAATACTGATTAAAGCATGCAGTGTGCGTGCACTCATATTGAGGATAATCTCACTTTTATGAAACAATTGTATGGTAGTGTCTGCCAGCCCAATTTGCTGCTTCTGCTGTGGTTCCCTCTTGATGCTTCCTACTGGTATTTTTTACTTTCATGTTTAGGGAATGGGTGCTAATTGGGATGAGATTAGTAGATATAAAGGAAACATCTTCAGTGTAGTCCTGGACATAGATAGAAATGCTAGAGGGACAAAATAGTTGTAAGATTTCTTTATTTCCCATGTACACTGGACCTAGTCTTCCTGTATTTAAGACATTTATAAGCTACAAAAACAGCACAATAAATCTTTTAATGTTGATCATGTAAAGAGATTAGGAAATCATTGGTTTGTTAAAAGTGATTTTGTTTTTTTGATCCTCAGAAACTGGATAAGAAGCTCAGAGAGAATCTAAGAGATGCCAGAAACAGTCTTTTTACAGGTGACACACTTGGAGCTGGCCAATTCAGGTATTGTGTTAGTCATTTTATTCTTCACATTTCAGTTGTCTGGGTAAATCACCACTGTACTGAAAACTGTATTTACAAGAATTTGGTTCAAATTCTATATTAATAGAATTTACACACTTTCAAGAGAGTTCTCCAATCCCACAGCATAACCCATTTAAAAACTTCTAAAACTATTAAGAGTATGGCCCTAGCACAGTAAGTCAGAAGTTGTTATGAACCAGTTAACTTTGTTCAGCCTCTAAACCCAGCAGAAGCCAAACTTCTGTAAATACACTCTGTTTACAGGGCTATGAAATGCAGTTGGATGTCTGAACATAGCTCTGAAGTCCTCAAAAAGAGAGGCAGACCCATCTTCTTGCTTGTGAACACTACTACCAGTTTAGTTATATCTAAAGCAAGTGTTTCCCAGCTGATCCCTGTCTTGATCAGAGGACACTGCTTGAGGACTACCACCTGGATAATTAAGGTCTGTTAAGCCATGACCATTTGAGTCCTTTGTGGATGCTTGTAAGCTTCTGATAATGTGTTCTCAGTAGCATCCCTGTACACTGTTGCCTCCAGAGAGGTGAATACTCCACAGGCTGCTTTAGGAAGGTGTGTTATGAGAGCCTCTGCTGTTCATGAAAAGGAGGAGAGGTATTGGCAAGACCATAGCTGAAGGAAACTTACAATCTGCTAACTGAGTATAAAACAGTCATCATACTTTTATCTCAAATTAAAACCAAGGCTTGGATAAAAGGCACAAAAACATCAACATTGGCAAAAGGAAGGAGCTTGAAAGGAGAGAGAATAGTTGTGAAATACCAGTTTCTTAGTTTTCATGGGAACTGCATTGAAGCACTGCTTTACCTTCAGAGGCATGGCTTGTTTTCCTGAGAGTGTTATCATTGCCCTCAAAATTAAAATGCAAGGTAAAGCAAACACAGGAAACTTTAACCAGTTGAATGGCTTCAGATCTTTAGTTTTTCAGAATCAGCTGTCTAAGGCTTTTGAGATTATACATTTAAGTGAATATACTTAATGCAAGGAAATACAGAGCGTGGAATTTAAATGCTTTTTCTCTGTTCAAATGCACTTCAACTGCATGTTGTAGGGATTATGTGCTTAAGAGAAATGGTTATTACAATGTTCTGTCAGCTCACAGTCTTCCTGTCTTCACTATAAGCTTTTCATGTAGCCATAGCCCAAGACCTTTAGGCATGACTGCATTTTTTACAATGTTTACAAAATTGGGTATTGATGGAATTACCATAGTGCATCTCAGAAGTTCATAATTTATTTTTGTATGGACTTTATATACAAGCAAAGAGCAAAATGAAATTAGAAACCCTTGGAAGTGAGATTCTATATTTGAGGATCATAATGGGGATTAAGGTCAAATAGTACCCACTGAAACAGTTTTTTGGAGCTCAAACATATATCCACACAAAGAAGTGTTAGTTAATACCTAAAAAGTCAGTGTTTCAACTTCTGCTCAATATTTTTATATTGGTAATTTCACTAAGTATAAAATAATCTCTTTATCATTACTAAGATTTGATTAATGGAATTTATCATAGTGATCAGCCCCAGTTATTTTTGGGAAGGCTGGAGGACCTCAGCAGTAGGCAGTTTTGCTTTTATCTTGACATAGATATGTAAGTGGCTGATATCACTCAGGATGTTAGTGGGGTGCTTTAACCGTGTTTAAAGAAGTACTAACACAGTGTCATCTTTTCAGCTTCCAAAGGCCCTTATTAGTCCTTGTTGACAGAAACATAGATTTAGCAACTCCTCTACATCATACTTGGACATACCAAGCTTTAGTGCATGATGTTCTGGTAAGGATAAATCTGATTTTGTTACCAAAACTATTTTTTCGCTCAGTTTGTTGTTAAAACTTATTATCAGATTCTCTCTTAATCCAAAATCTGTTTTGTCTGTTTTATTGTTTTAATAAAGAACAATTTGGAAGATTTTCTCTAGAAGGTTTATTTAGCAATATTTTAAAAGTTGAAATCTTGGTATCATAAGAAGATCACTAATTCATCAATCCCGGCTTTTTTTTTCAGTAGCTCATGATCTGTAGGTTATGTGATATCCAAACTCCATTAAGTGCAATTCAATTTTGAAAAAGAAATGCTTTTATGTGTTTTTAAACCAGTTTTGGTTTTAGTTTGAACTTCTGAAAATACTTTATCCTGTTTTTCTCCACAAGGTGGTGTAGGTGTTCAGTGCAGAGTGATGAACAGTCCTGCTGTAAGGAATCTAAAACAGATTTTTAAAATTTTTTTAATGTAGATAACATTAAGCTGCCTATATTTCCTCAAGTTTATTTTATAAAACCAATAATAGAAATGTACTTGAATGATAGCTCATTCTGTTTACCTCAGATTTGTGCATTTTGTGTATAGGTGTGGAGTAAATAATTTAAAAAAAAGAGTAAGAGTAATTAGTATCTGAAGGCTTATTATGTGCTGAGAGTTACTGTGAAAATAATTTCAATATCTGTCGTTGAGAATTTTTTTAGATTTATTATTGAGACTGTTATAGGCATACATGAAATATGCACGTGTGTTGATGTACAAAGTTGATGGTGAACTGTATAGTCATCCATAGTGTCCAGAAACTTGTGTTGCTATGATGAAAATATTTCAGCACTAATACAATGTTTTAGGGTACTTGTAAATTTTATTTTATGTAATTAATTCATTATCACAAATCCTGTCCTATTAAACTTAAGAGTGCTTTCTGCAAATAACAATTTTTGGCCTAGTTTCTTTGGGAAAGGGATGTCTGGAAAAACCACAGTTTGCACCAAGTTTTCTCCAGTAAGTGTTGAACTGGAGACTTGCAGATAGAAGTAGTGAATTTCTACAAGTTTCTTTTTAAATTAGTGTTGGGTGCCCTCAAGCATGAGTTGGGATAGAACTTCAGTTCATCAAGATGCAGTGATCAAAGATGTACTGGAAGCTGAGGACAGCCAGTGCTACAAATCTGGTGGGATATTGGAGTAACCCTGGAAGACTTACTCAATGATATTGGATCTCTACTGCATCAGTAGAGTTCTGTAGTTTCTCTGGACTAACCTGTTAAATGTTGTATCTTAAAAGTGCACAGATTAGGAATTTTTTTCATGAAATTGTAACCAAGGGGTCTGTGGTTCCATGACAAGGGCAAACGTTTAATTTCAAAACTAGTCAAGTTACCTTGAAGGCAAGCTTGCCAAACTCTTCCCATACTGAGCATAATATTCCATGAAATAACTGCAGTAGTCTTCTAAGACGCCATAAATTGTAACCATGAAATTGTTACCAAGATGTTGATTATGTAAACTATGCTTTCAAACAGACTGGGTTTTGTTTAAGGTCTCAGTTACAATAGTCCAGGAATGCTGTGCAATGTTGAACTACTCAGGCACAAAGTTGAGTGCTGCATCCATTGAGATCATAACCATGCTGTTTCTACACAGAAACATGCTTACATGAAGGGATTTATATTTATGAATAAAAATCCTTTCATCAGTGGATACAGAAAAATAGTTAGAGGCATGGAGGCATGGTTAGAAAGCCTTATAAGGGCAAAATGGGGGGTTGAAAAGAAGAACACTAATCAATAAGAACTATTTTAGGAAACCTTGTAAATGCCAAAACTAACTTGAAAACGCAGGTCACTGGTGAGTTAAAATGATCCAAAATATATATCTCCATTAAAAATTGTAGCTAAATATAATTTAGCTATAATTATAAAATTATAAATTATAAAATTAATTTTTTTCTCTTCATGTTTTTTATTAAATATGTGTCCTTGAAATGTACTATTTTTTTGCTGAAACATAAAACACCTCTTGTAAGATGAGGTTTTTGCTCATCAACTCTATGTGTTTCCTTTGAGTAGCTGCTTGGTTTTGTTTCTATTCTGGTATGGATCATTTGAAATATTTAAGTCCCTGCCAGGGTTTAACTAGAAACATTTTAAAAATTTATTTGACAGTTTCACTCACAGTGATCCATTTCTGTATACTTTAATGAAAATAATAAAGTGATGTTTTATTTCTGGGAAAAATGCTTATTCTAAAAGGTTCATAACAGTTTCTGTTTAGTTGAAGATTTCACTCTATCATTATTTCTAATGATAAAAATCTCAAAGAGCACCTTTGAGGTTTTAAGTGTCCTTGAAAAGAGCTAGGACAAAGTCAGCAAGTGGAATACTTGTTAATACTCTTTGTTGAAAACCAGAGAGAATAGGTAAGCTTCAGAAAATGCAGGGCAGTCTTTGGCAGTGGGGGAAAGAACCAGAAGACCCACAGGGAGCAGTTGGTGATGTGACCAGAATTGTGTCCTCTAGCAAAGCAATGCAGTTACTATGCTCATGCATCTGTGGAAAAAGAAAAACTATATGGAAAAATAGGAGCTTTGTTGCAAAGTTTTGCTTTATCATGCATTCACTATTTTACTAGGGCTCAAAAAATTAGGGCAAGAGCTGTGAAGGTGTGGCTAAGTAGTCCTCTGTGAAGAATCCTGTTGCTGATGTCATCAGCTTCTCAGCAGCTTTGATACCTATGTTGTAGCTATGTAAATGAACAGATTTAGAAACACTTTTTGTCTGCAACATTTCTACTTCAAAGTTTTGGGGAATTGCTAGAGCACAGTCCTTGCTAAATAACTCATTTTCTATGCAGAAAACAGTGTTCAAAGTTCAGTGTCAGAAGAGTGCTTGCATATGAGATAATCAAATGTCTTTGCATAACATTCATTGCCTTGTTTAGTATTGAACTGATCACAGCTCAGTAACTGTGAGTAATTTTGGAGTCCTTATATTGCTGTTGTTATTATCTAGTTAACTAGTAAACTGTTTCCTGCCTTCTTCTGAAGTTCTGATAAATAGCTGTGTTAATATTTTTTTAGAAAATATTCTAGAAATTATTTTGTTGAGTATAAAAGACTGAATAAACAATTAAATTGTCAAATATTTACATAAGATTCTTCTTTATTGTAGGATTTCCATTTGAATAGAGTTAACTTGGAGGAATCAGCAGGAACAGAAAGCACTCCAGCAGGTGCAAGACCTAAGAAAAAAAATAAGAAGTCCTATGATTTAACTACATCTGATAAATTCTGGCAAAAGCATAAGGGCAGGTAAGCTGTAAAGGTATACAGTTTATATTCATTTAGTCAGTATGAACTCTAAGTATTCTTCATATATGGCAGTTCTGTTTTAAGCTTCTTTGAAAATCTTGTCTAGCTTGGGGGCTTTTCTTTTTAAGCTGGATTGGATCTGGCTGAGATGAACTTCATTCCCCACAGCAGCCCTCACAGTGCTGTGCTTTGCATTGGTGGCTGGAAGGGTGTCAGTAACACACCAGTGTTTTGGCTACTGCTGAGCAGTGCTCCCACAGCATCAGCACTGTCTCCCCAACATTCCTCCCCACCAGCAGGCTGAGGGTGGGCAAGATCTTGGCAGGGGGCATAGCCAGGACAGCTCACCCAGAGTGACCAAAGAGATACTCCATACCATTCTGTACTATCCATTCCATTCCACTGTTCAGCAGTAAAAGCCAAGAGAAAGGAGGAGTGTGCAGTGTTCAATGGGATTTTTTAAAATGTTTTTCTTCTGGAGCAACTGCTCTGCCTACTGAAGCTCTGCTTCCTGGGAAATGGCCAGGCATCATCTGTTGATGGGAAATAGAGAATAAAACCTTTCATTTTCCTTTGCTTTCACACATAAGCTTTCCTTTTTTCAACCACCTGTATCTTGACCCATGACTTTGGAGTTTTTTCCACCTTGCTTTCTCCCCTGTCTTGCTGAGGAGGGAAGTGATAGAGTCACTTGGTGAGCAAATGGCATGCAACCAGGGTCAGACCACCACATAAGGAATGATCTTTGCCAGTATTCCTTGCCCATGATAATTGTCTCTTATTACTTTGTAACAGAGCTCAAATTGTTCTTACCAAAACTACATAAAATTATTGAAAGCAGTGAATATATCTTAGAAAGTTAAAGTAAACCTACAGTAAGAAAGTTAAAGTAAACCTCCATTATATCAAGATATCTTTATTTTCACTGATTTGATTCTGCTGCGTGATTTGTGTATTGTTATTTCCAAAAAAGTTTTTATTGTCTGGTTCTAGTATTTCATTTTGTTGATTTAACTGAGCTTAATGCAGACTATTGCATTAGTCCTTTTCCAGAGGTGGCCGAGTCTGTTCAGCAAGAACTGGAATCTTACAGAGCCCAAGAAGATGAAGTCAAAAGACTTAAAAGTATCATGGTAAGTTTTATCACCTGTATGTGTTTTATGTAATAAAACACATAATAGGGCTTGTAGAGACGCCTAGCCCACCCGTGTCATCCCACGACAAAAATTTACATTGCATGCTGAATTTTAGGCATGATATGATCTTAAAAGTAGGACTATAAGTACCATATTTCATGAGAAGTTTCAATTTCTTGTTCATTGGTGTTGCAATTGTATAACTTCCATACTAACTGGAAAACACAATCCAGACATTAATACCATTATGATAAAATAGATTCTAAATGTACTGACTTTATCTGCATGCATGGTATTTGTATTTATTATGACTATTTTTATTCCTCTTTTCAAACCCTTCCTCAAAACCCAGGGCATTGAAGGGGAGGATGAAGGAGCAATAAGTATGCTTTCAGATAATACAGCTAAGCTAACTTCAGCTGTCAGGTATGTAGTCAATAATACATTATTGTTGTGTAGTTATCTGTGAACCATTTCTAATTTTTTTTGTTATTGTACTTTTAGTGTTCTTTGAAATAAATATCTTTAAATGGAGGCTGTTCAGCTCTACAATATTTTTTAATGCTTTATAATTCTGATAAAATTAAATGCAGTGTCCTAAACCAATGCTTGCGTACGTAACTTCCACAATATGTTTGACTTTGGAGTCTTTTCTCAGCAAAGACAAGTAATCTAAGTGCATCATAGATTTGCTTGCACTCTTTCACCAAAATCCCCAACCTCTGCATTTTTTCATTTTAAAAAAATAGTGAAATCCCCTTCTTCAGGTATCATTATGAGAATCATTACATCAATATGTTGTCATTTTTTAGTTCCAACCCTATTCTGTAATTTTAGATTTTAATGGCTTTTAAAGGTCCTTTCCAACCCAGATTGTTCTATTATTCCATAAATGTTTTAGTGCCTACTGTATATAGTGCACAATTCCATTAACAGTGCAAATCAGCAGGTTAGTTTGTATTTAATCTCTTCAGCTCTCTTCCAGAACTTCTGGAAAAGAAGAGGCTCATTGATCTTCATACAAATGTTGCAACAGCCGTTTTGGAGCACATAAAGGTACAATTGCTCTCTAACTTGAGTTTTCTGTCAACAGTACTCCTTAACTTCAGGGATATATTTGAGGCAGTGAAGATAAAAAATGAGCATTCTCAATGGTACTACTCTTTCAGAATTCACTGTGTAGCATTACTTAGTGTTGAAGGGGGAGAGAGAATGAATTCTGAATGCCTCTGCATGGAAAGCAAAGAACACCAGTTATTTTCTTATCAGAATTTACTAGTATAGTCTCTTTTTTTCAATGGTGGCCACAAGTGTTGGGTTGAAGTGTTCAAAAAAATAAGTTTATGAGGGTAGTGTTTTGTTTATTTTAGAGATGTATCATGGCAATTCATGACTTCAGTCTAAGCAATCTTCTGTTCTGTATGTGTTTGTCAGAAGGGTGCTGTTGACTGCTCACCAGCAAAACTGATACCCAGAGATGTGGCAATAATGATGCAACTTACTGAAGTGGTCTTTCCAGCAGGGTCTGTGTTAGATGTCTTCTGCATAATTTAAGAACTTCACAAGGGAGTTTGTCTTTCCTGTTTTAAGTCTGCTGCCTTTGTCAGAGACCTTGCAGACGGATTCATGTCAAGTGAAGGCTCTGATAACTGCCAGGATAACTTGGAAAATGGATCTGTTTTCACAGCAAGAAAACAGAAATTGTAGATGAGGCTTTCAGAAATGCTGAAATTCTTTTCAGTTTTGGAAGGTGTTTCAAACACCAAGTCTCACTGAAAATCAGTAATTAGAGAGTTTTACCCCAAGCTACTTAAAATTCTTGGAAGGCAATGTGTTTTGAAGCTAGCTTTAGCATTTGTAAAGAATGTAAGATCTGTCCTCAGTTATTATTGCTACTGATTTTTTTTAAGTACTCCATATGAATAAAGGATTAATTCTGCAACTAAATTGATAAATTCATTTACAAATTTATAAAGCTGGAGAAGAGGTAAGTGCCTGCACTTAGGTCATTACTGTAGGGGCTACTATATGGGCTTTTACACTATTAGATATGTCAGTTTTCATATCTGACAATTTGAAAGCAGTACTTTAATACCACTGAAAAAAATTGAAGTCAAAAATATTAATATTTTGATCCCTTGACTCTAAATTCACTTTTCCAGGAAAGATACTGGCATGATAATGGCAGGCCTAGAGCAGTAGTGTTCTATATATGATTTGTTGGTTGGAAAACAAGTTTCAGGGCAGTAACATCAGTTTGGCTTTCCAGTATCCTATTGGCAGTGAGCTGGAGTCAGATGCATTAAATGATAGCAACACACTTGATTACCTAGAGGTGGAAGGAATTGCCTTATCTGGGCATTCAACCAGCCCTTGGCTTGCTGCTCTGATAGGGAAGGTGCTATTAGGGAGTGCCCTAGAAGTGGTGGTCCATTCCTCCACCATTCCTAATTCTGGTACTGCAAAGTGCTCAGGCTCTTTACCTTCCTGTTGTATAAATGTCAAAGAAAATGGTGAGACAAATGGCCATGCAGTTTCTTCAATATATTGATATGTACATCTCCATCATCTTTTCTCTTGGTTTAAAAAGCATCAGTTAATCTCCAGATATTTAGGAAACTGTCTTAAACTAATGCAGGCGGACACATTTTTTCTATTGAAATTTGCTTATGGTAAAGCTTTTTAACTGAATCAATGTAAAGTTTATTCCAGCTGCTTTCTCCTGACCATTTTCTCCTCTCTTTTCACCCTCCAGTGGTAGAAAAAGTATCTTTCAATCTTGAGTTGTGGAATTTTAGTAGACAGGACATTATGCTACCTAATGGATTCCTCAAAAATACTCTCAAAAAGAACAGTGTCTCATCCAGTACTTTTAAAAGAAATTCTGATGAGACATTGACTGTGTGAATAAGAGGATTTATACACAGTTGCATAATGAAACCAGATTAGGATAAGGCTGATTCTTTTTTGCAAGTAAGTGCTAAGGTCATGAGGAGCTAGTGGGGCGCCATGCTCTTCTTCAGGTTACTGTATTTTCACTTCTAAAATAATCAGGAAATGCATTCATACTTTAAAATAGACTATTTGCATTATCCATTATGGAATTTTACTATATTAATTATTTGAGCATTTTTCTTCACTATATATATAAGGTTCTATGCAAAGAATGCAACGAGACCTGCTTTGGATATACTAAGTGAACTAAATTTTTCTTGTGGCTATACTTTAATGTTCAGTTTACAGCTGCTTTCCACATTCTCTTGGATCATTTTCTAAGACACAGCAAGAGGAAACCAGAAATTAATCACATACTTACGGGTCCTGGCAGTTTTTTGGCTTAAGATTTAGTGAAATAATGGAAAGTATGCATCACTTTTTCATGAAGCTAACCATCAAGTATTTATTGTCAGTGCTTAGAACAAACGCATCCTTGTTTTGCATTTATTGGTTTTTTCCTCTGCTGAAGCTGGTGACTAAAGGTCTGGACCCAACAGATAACAGATTTAGAGCTAGAGTTGCCTATGTAGCTGCTTTAAAGTTTCAAGTAATGCATATCTTTGCATGTCATTATAATATTAGTAGAATTACTGATGTATGTTAAATCATAAATATAAAAAGATGCGCACATATACTTTTGTAAAATGGTGGTTGGGGGGTAGATTAGATAATCTCTTGCTAGAATTCTACAGATGTGAATTTAAGTGGCAGATTTTTATATGTATTGTTAATTTCTATGTATAAATTTATATGTATTATTAAATTACTTGTATTTGGCTTAGGTTATTTTTTAAATTCCAACATGGTTTTATTATGTATCTCTACTTCTGCTTGATCTCAAGGTTTGATGATCTCTTAATTGGGATCCCCTTAATTGGGATTGACAATAGCCTTTCAACTTTTCAAATTCATATTTTTAAAGGAATTCCACTATTTGAAGTACTCTGTTTTAAATAAGGTTACATTTTGGTCTTACACATACCATGAAATGGTATGTGTTTGTGAAATATATACGTCATAGTGGGCCAGGCTGTTTTCTGTAGTTCAGAACTGATAATTCATTAACTTTCTAGTAACAACACCTTTTTCTGAGTTCAGTTACAGTGACCTTCCAGTCATCATTCTGTGCAGTTCAGTGAAAAGGAATTGGCTGTGTCAGCTACTCCCAGCCTTCTTGCAGAGTTTCTCTTCCTCTCCATAGCAGCACACATGATTACCTGACCAGCCTCCCTCATTCTGGAGGCAGTTATTTCTGGTCTTTCTCTGTCAGCATCTCTGAAAAGGACCTCAGATAGTTTCTTAGAAAATGTCTTCTCTCTTCTGCACATTCTCTCTCTGTAAAATTAAGAACTTTTGTAGTGTAAAGAGGATAGAAGAGCTTCCAGCAAGTCTCTACAAAAATTACCCTCTAAGAGATTTTAATGGGTCCTGCCTCCACTTACTTGCTTTAGAAAGAATTGTGTTCATTTTGGAGTACAGTGCTCAAGTAGACTTTCCCATGCACTTCAGTAATTTTCCCTAAAATAAGTTTTGGCTTACGATCAGCCTATTTCTAAAGATGATAAGTTGAAAACTTTCACAAATATATTTTTTTTAAAAAGCAAGCTGAAGTGTGGCACTTTAACTGCAATGCAGGATCCTGTTTCTGAAAGGGCAGCCAGAGCCAGAAAGGTCTCTTGAATGAGATTGGTGTGGAACAAGATGTCATAATAGCAAGTCAAGAGCAGGAGGCAGAAAAGGCATAACTGTAAAAGCAAATGCATCTTTATTTTATTATTTTCTATTATTATTGATTTTCTTCATTGCCAGTTTGGCACCCATAAGAACATATTCTTTGCTGTGTTTTTTATTGAATCTACAGGATTGTTTAGTTCCTATTCCCCAGCTTTTCCTCTTGGCATGCCTGTGAGTTTGCCATTGAGTGAGTAAAATTGCACCTATTTAAATTAAATGGGACATCTGCTTCTTGTCAGCACCTCTTAGACAAGTTGGCTCTTCGAGAACTGTCTCATTGATGTGGCATATCTGGGATATCTATCAAAAGGTAACTAGTAGTGTTTAAGGCTATTCAGTAACCATATGAAATTTGATTAGGTGTCCATCCAATTCCTAGCAAATCAGTATCAGAAAAATATTGCCCTAATTAGATCTTTGATAGTAACTTTCATAAGTTATCTAATGAAGAAGCAGCTGAATAGGCTTACCACATTGATCCATCCCTTTAGTTGATCACATCAGACAGAGTCTCAAAAGTTTTACATTGCTGCTTACCTCTGATGTCCCTATTGTGGATAGAAAAAAATAGTGGATAGGAAAAAAAAGTGGACCTGAAGTTTTGGGATTTTCAGTTGGGGGTTTTTCCCCCAAAGAGTGCTGAGTTCACACTTCAGAAGTAATTCTGCAAAATTTTTGAAGGGAGTGAGTGTACATGTATCACTAATGTTTCAGTTTAGGCTCAAAGTATAGCCCATAGATGCAAACAGTGAATTTTCTTTGCTGCTGGTAATCTGTTTTGTTCAGCAGCCATAGTCAAACAGTCATAAAGTTGCACATGGCTGAGAAGAATTTTACCTAGCCTGTGCTCCAAGTAAGTTAACAATTGTCAATCTGTTCTTAAAATTGAAATTGATGTTTGAATTACGAAATTTTATTTAGAAGTTGATCTGTAAACAAGTACAGAGAATCAGTGAATCTTTTTATGTTGTACATTTTTACATGCCATCTGAATAAATTTCTCGTAAACAGATCACCAGCTAAGATAATATGGGCTTTGCCAAATTCAACAGTAATATATTTAACTTTATAAGATCAAGTTTCCACATTTCAAGACAATCCCTTTTTTATTGGATGCCTTTTGTCAGGGAAAAATATTTTAAACTTAAAAACATTGAGTTTAGCCTCACATAACAAGATACTAATGTAGATGAAATACAAAGAGCAAGTGAATGTAATGGAAATACTTAAAAATTTGTATTAGTTTCTTTGCAATTGCTTTATGTCTATAAAGAGATTTAAGGAAACTGTAACGCAGAAAATCTCCGAGGCGCTCTAGAATTGAGGTCTCACATGGTTTACCAGATACCAAATTGCATGTGATGTAAGGTCTTGGAAAAAGGCTGGTAGCTGGGTTCTAGTCAGACTTCATACTGCTCTTTTAACATAAACTCTAGGTAAATATAGCTTGAAAGAAGATCTAGTCCTTTTTTTTTTCTCCTCATTTCATGCATCTTCTATGTAGTCATAGTCACAGAAGATATTCTTCTGCCCCTAAAAGTAGCAGGGGTCATCTCTGAGTGCTCTTCATGGTAATTTACTTTATAAGCTATAATTGCAAGCATCCACAAAAACTTTAAGTTGTTGCTTTGCAAGTAAATGCTCTTCTCAAGGAGTTCAGTAAGTGGCAACTGAGAAATTGAAGCTTTGTATAGCTACCTGCATCATAAGCTAATCACCATATGCTTTCAATATAAAAATATTCTTGTAATTCATATCTTTTTTACTTTGCTTTCTCTTCTCTAGCTCTTTTTTTGAGGAACTTACAGTACTCAGAAGGTGAAATATCCTGATAGCCTTACACTAGAGAAATACCTTTTTTTTTTTTAGAGAGGTGGTAAAATAACTTTTTTGAAATTAATTTCTTATTTGTGATCTCAGGAATAATTTTAGTAGAATTCAGAAATATGTGAAAACCAGACTTCTAAAGTTTTTATGTCCTGTCATTAGAACTACTACTGCACTGAATAAAATATGCCATAGCAGTTTTAAATGCTTTGGCATTATCAGGCAAAATTTGTCAAATAATTTAATTCAAGAAAAGCAAGGTGACTCTTGCTCTCTCTGGCAATATCATTTCAGTCTCAGAGCAGCAATGGTGTGGACCTGACACACTTCCAAAGCAGCAAGATGGAGACCCACTCTGCCAATCTCCTGTTGGAGCCAATACATGGCTGAATGTGTTCAAACATCAGGATTTAGTTAGTTACCAGATACTAAGGTTTTGTAAGCTGAGCAGCTCTAACATTGGTTGTGATGCTACATTTTAATGTTCAGACACACATAATGATCTGCATTGTAAAGGAATGTTTTAAAATAAGTTCTGGAGTGCATTTTTCTATTTTTAGCTTGTAAGATCATGATCAATAAGTGCAAAGCTTGTCTGTTTGTGCAGATTTGCTGCAATGCAGTCATTACTTGCATGGCCATGTGATGTCTTCCATAAAGCTTTTGCCTCAATTATTTTGTGTAGTCCCTGTGCCATCCTCCCCAAAAAGGATTTTCACAACATCTAGATGTGTCATTGTATAATGAGAGACTTCTTTTCCGGTGTCAACAAGATAATCTAATTATAAACTTCTCCATCTTTGGTGTGAGTGAATTATGGCAAGCCTTTGATCTGAGGTAGAATTTCTGTACTAGCCCAAGCTGGCAGTTGCCAACGTTTCTTCGGGATGATGCCTTAGTGTATAAAGGAATTTCCCATATTTATCTGCATTGAATAATTGTCTTGTGGTCTGGGAGCCTGGAGGTTCAGAATAAACTGGACATAATATTCACTTGACCATTATTTTTTCCTTTTACAACATAGCAATGTGTATGATGGCATGTAGTTTTCAGCTGTGGCAAAGCCATAGTTGAAAACAAAGCTTCTCTTCCAGTTCAATATTCACAGCAGACACCCCTTGCTTAACTTGCTTTTTCACCTTTTAATATGATAATTAAATACACATCAACTTTCTGAGAGTTAATAAAAGCATATTATAATACAAGCATTAGTTACTTTTACTGATAATGTATTTAAAAATAAAATTTTTAAAACTGTATTTTTAACTTAAACTGCATCCTTCTTGAAAGAGAAAATAAATATTCTTTCACAATTTTAAGATGTTAACCCTAACACTTACTCTTAAACAGAGTCGAAAGCTGGATGTGTATTTTGAATATGAGGAAAAAATAATGAGCAAATCCACTCTGGATAAATCTCTTCTGGACATGATTTCTGACCCAGATGGTGAGTACTATAAATCTGAACTTGGTATAAAGTTTGTTAAGCTATCCAATAAATCTATACCTGCTTGGATTTCAGGGTTGGTAAAGAGCAACCTGTGCAAGATTTTTAACAAAAGCAGCTTTTGATTGATTTTCAGTAGCAGTCTAGAGAGTTTAATGCTTCAGTTGAGTAATATCCAAAATATTAGCTACTTCTGCAGCTCTACTAAAATCCTATCCTAACCCCTTATTTTTGAAGGTCAATATATTTTATTTTTTGTGCTTTTGCAGTATTTAGTAGTGTAGCATGGCATTCTGTGGTCTGAAAAATAGTAATTCTTTAAAATCCTCCTGCATGTTTTATAACATATACATACCTCACGAGCACGATGAAAACATCATAGAATTTGACCAGATCAGGGGACTGTAATGTAGGTAGCTCCTGCTTGTGTGAGGAAAGAGATGAATGGGACAAGTGGAGAGAGGAGACACAAGGTGTATTGGCCAGTTCACTGGACTCACCTGAAGCTTTGCACGTGTTGATTCAGCTGTGCCGTGTCTGTTTTGACCATGTAAGAGCACGAGCAGGCAATCCCAGCTTCTGTGTCAGAGAGGGGTCAGACATATCAGAGCATTGCACACCAGGGGTGCTCGGGTTCTCTGTTAGCCAGAGTCACTGGGGGTCTTCCTCTGAAGGGCTGACCCAAATGACTTCTCAGCTTTTTGTACTTTTTGAGCATCAATTCTTCTTTCAATCTGTCACAGCCTGATGTGTGTCAAAACACTCTGACAGATTTCAGTATGATCTGATACCAGCTGGCTGGAAGAAAATAACGTGCAGAGCAAAATTGTAAAACTTAAATTAGGATCTCTGACTTGTCTGCATACTGGCAATTATGTTGGCAAACCTCAAGCATTTAGAGACCCAGGGTTCCTGCTTTTTTTCCAGTGTGCTTTTCAAGAAAACGTTTTGTTACTGCATGATTATGTGTGTTGTCTTACAGCTACATACTGAGCTTAATGCCTGCTTGGAGTTTGTATAATGATTCATATTTGTAGAAAGAATATATGTACATCCTGCTGACATTCTGCAAAAGTCTTTTAATAGTGTTCATGCTGTATAATCAAAGGGCAGTAGGAGAAATAGTGCACAGTTGGTAGAAATCTGAGCTAAAATTTTAAGATCTCATAATAGGTCAAGTCTAGAAACTAATAAGCTTTCAGAAAATCTAATGTCAGACATCAGTCTGTAATTCAGTACATTCATTTTTTATTTGAAGCAAATAAGAATATGTATAATCTGTACTTTTATTAAGCATCAATACAATTACTTCTTACTTGAATCCACATTTTTATGCCTTTTTAGAGTTCAGTGTAGAGCAAATTGTTTTCCAAGCCTGATGTATCTTACCAACATTCCTATTGGCAAGGTTCCTGGGTTTTTTACAAGAGAAAGATTAGATTCATAAGCTAGAGTTTTTCTTTATAAGCTAAGTATTCATAAGCTAGGTTTTCACAGTATTATGTTGGCATTTTATATTCATTGTCTAGGTTTAAGTTTATGTAAGAAAAAGATTTAAGCTAAACCATGGTGATTATTTCCAGGCATGCTGTCTTGTTAAACTGTCCAGCCTCATATTGTGTGATTCACTGAGAAATACCATCAAAAAACATTTTTAAGGAATAATACATCAAGTCTTCCTGTGCTTCTGGTGGATTATTTATTGGCATAATGTGTGGGGATATTTGTCTTCAGAGCTCTTGATGAAAGCACTTAGGTGTGACCACTAAAGAGCTGCAGGCTTCAGCCTCCATTTGTTACTGGGTTGTGCTCATCTACCCTCTGTTGGCTCTGTCAGCTGCCTCCCACTGTAGTGGGTATTACCATACCCTGGAGAAGGGATAAAATGGAAGCTAGGGGCTGCCTGCAGAGTTTTCAAATGAGTATAAAGGTGGTCCATTCTAGTTGTGCCAAGTTAGGTTTTCTTCAGAATGTTGAGCAGTTTGCCTCTCTGTGTTGTCACAGATGGTAGTCTAGAAAAAAGTAGTGGATATTTGGCAGGCAATTGACCTGAGTCTTTCAGCTGTTTATCACAGCTTTTTTTGCCCAAGTGAATTCCAGGTGGATCTGTACCTTGAAAGCTGGCTTTTGGTATTGATAATACAAAGTTTCTTCAGTTCTTGATCTTCTAACTTACTGGCATTTGGTAAAGGTTAGTAAAACCTACTTTGAGAAGATTGTACCAAGTTATAAATGCTCATTATGACAGTGCTTACTCTTAACTTCTGCCAGACTAAATATATGCTCACTTATAAATAAAAGTTGCAGATTAGGTCAGATGGTCTCCTGCTGACATAATCCACATTCCATAGTAGGGGAAAACAGCCCAAAACAAACAATACAGAAAAAGAAAAACAGGAAAAAAAGTCATTTTCTTACCCACAAGTACAAGAAAGTGCAGTCTTATAAAATATTGTACTGAAAGTATTAGGCTTTTATAATGAATTTTAATTTGAAATGTTTGTTTTGAGAAGTTGTTCTTCTGAAAACTTCATTTGAAACTATTGTTTTTACTCACAGTGATTCTCATCTAGAAAAATAAAAAAGTCTTCAAAATCTGATGTAATCATTTATACTCTAAGTAATGGCTACATCAACCTTTTGATCTCTAGAGATGAATTTTGATTGCATATGAATAATGCTTCCCAAGAATGGGAAGTGTTTTTCTCCAACAAAAGAGGATTTAGGAGGTCAAATCCTTTCTGAAGGCAAGTTGGAAGTTCACGGGTTTTTTTCCTGACCAGAGGTTCAAATAAGTGCTTTTGCAGTCCTCAGGTATTTCAGTACAGTGAACCGTAGAGCTGTGTAAGCAAGTTGTAGAGCTAAAAAATAATATGCTGTGGCTTTTACTTCTATGATTTTTTTTTAGTCTCCTTTTTCATGGACCTACTTCCAGATAACATTTGCAAACTCCACATAAGTCATAATTTCTCTACGCAATTTATTTAGTATGTTATATGAAGAATAATATTTACTACAGACAAAAGGGGGAAGTGTAAAACTTGCAGAAAGAATAAGCACATCTAACCCAACTCTTAATAAAATTGTCTGCCATTATACACATGGTTATCAATAACATTTATCATCATATTCATATGTATGGCTGCTGAAGGGCAGTTAATGTAGTAGCATAGTTACAATTGTAGTTTATAATTCTTTTTTTTTCTTTCTTACTGCAGCAGGAACTCCTGAAGACAAAATGCGATTATTTCTCATCTATTACATAAGCTCAGCTCAGGCACCTTCAGAGGTACCTATGTTCTTTACAGATTCCAACACCAGATTCTACCACAAAGGATTTTCATTTCAGCACTAAGCAGATATTTCTGTGTCTTTGCAAAGGGTATGAAGTGCTCAGGAAATTCTAAAACTTTAGTAAGACAAAAAAAATAAGACAAAATAAATTTTGTCTTATTGCCAGGAAATCTGCTCACAAAGCTTTAGCCACCATTACAAAGAATATGAATGACTAGTAAGAAGGAATATTATATTCTGATATATTTAGATGAGAGTTACTGCAAGACACATCTTAGCATGTTTTCTATTACTCTGCTCCACTACTCAAAGAAGTAGGTAAAGCAAACAAAAATATGACTTGTTTCACTTCATATATTCAAGAATGATTGAGTCAGTTGACTAGCAGTAGAATGAAGGAGAAATGCATCTGCCAATATCTGAGTAATTCAGGAAACAATTTCTTCATATTTCTTTTGAACTTAGGATGATTGAGTTCAAGAAAAAGTCTTACACTATAGAAACATTATATGATGCAAAAAATGTTTAGGTTAGGCAAATAAAAAGTATTTGTATTAATATATATTAGCTCCTCTTTGTTTAGTTTTTACTGTTTTGACATTGTACAGAAACCAGCATTCTGTTGGTGCTAGTATAAATATTGTTCCATATCTGAAAGTGCACAGGATTTAATTCCACAAATACTGTTCATGTTAATGGGATCTGCTCATGGCAAATTTAATTTCAAGTTGCATTTCTGTACTTGGTAGGAAATGGAGTTAAGATTCATAATTACTTTTTAAGTTGGGCCAATGCTATAACTTTGCACTACTTACTTAATATTTAGATAAGGATATCTTGTCTTTGTACATGGAGTTAAGAGTAGCTTCAACCTTTTGTAATTCTCCACTTTATGATTTCAGATTGACTTGGAACAGTATAAAAAAGCATTGATGGATGCAGGTTGTAATCTTGCTCCCTTGAGCTACATAAAACAATGGAAGTAAGTAAATTCTTTTTTCTTCTATATGAGGCTCACTGGTTAATATAGAACCTAGCATTGTATTCAGGAATTATGTGTTCTCTTCAATTGTAAATTATCCTTAAATATTCATTTGGTATAAGTTTTTACTGTTACTGTTCTGGTAATACATGCAAATCTTAATTTAAAACTAAGCTCCAGTAGTGCCAGAATGCTATAGAACGTGACATGCCCTTAATGATCCAGGATAGAAACAACTTACTGAATTAATTGAAAAGTTGTGCTAGTTCAGACCTCAAAGTTTTTTTTTAGTTTGTACCAGGGAGTCATGTTGGGTATCAGTTATTGTAGTTTTACATGGTATTTAAATGAAATACTTGTCTTTAACTATAGAATCTAATTCCTATTGTATTTGTAGGCAAGAGAGATGCATATAATAAATAGTTACTTCATGAAAGAGTTCAAAGTGCAGCAGTTTTTTCACTTTCAGATGACTGGAGTGGAACATTCTGCAGAAGTATGTGCCTTAGATAAATATTTGATTTCTATCCCTGCTTTCACAGAGCTTTCACTAAGATGGCTTCAGCTCCAACCAGCTATGGAAACGCTACACCTAAACCTTTGGGGTATGCTTTTGATTAATTTTTTGTAAGCCTTTGGGTTCTTTTATCCTATTTTAGTAGTGCTGAAAGTGTGGTTAGCATTCTACAAGGCCCAGAACAAAACATCTCCCTATTTGTAAAATTTTTAAGTTACAGACAATTACAAGCACTCATCTCCCCTTAACAGCATAGTACACGAAGAGAGGAAAATAAAAGGATCTGGGACTAAATTCACAAACTATCTTAATACAGTGCCCTCTGCACCTGCCCATTAAATGCACTCTCACAGGAGAGGAATTCAGCAGCAGGAACTGGATCTGTGACAGCTATCACTTTGAGCCCTAAGTGTAGTCAGTGGCAGAAGATAAAAACAGCCCTGTATAGTCAAAATAATTTCTGTCTTGGGTTTGGAGACTGTCAGGGGTGCAAGGACACTCTGGAATGTCCTGGACTGGATATCTGACTTGTTGAAAGGTGTAGTTATTTATTTCAAGACATGAGAAAAAAAATTACTGTGCTAAAGTTACATATATCCAGTAAGGATATAGGAGTAGGATCTTCCCATTCTTCAGAGGATTTCAGTCCTCATTACCAGCTTCACTTTCGGGAATGCCCTGTCCCTGTTGTAAGGAATCTTGGCATAGTATGGTTAGAGAGGATTCTGGTGCTGTTTCTCTTGGGAAAATGCTCTTTGGGTTGTTGAACACGCTCAGCCTCTCTGTTAACCCTGGTCATTGGGTGTAGAATAAGCTGTTCAGTGGATTAAATCCAAAGCTCCCATTGATAGGTGAGGATCTGTCTGGTAGATTACAAGTGTATTCCCATACATGTGATTGCCATGTGATTTGAAGAATATATTTTATGACAAACTGAATTACTTGGTAATTAGGTCCTATTGATTTCATTGGGAATTGGATGTCAGTATAAAGCTTAAGAATACAAATTAAAAAGAACTCATACATCATCTTCATTTTGTTTTTTCAGTCTGTTTTCACGTGTTATGAATACAGGATCACAGTTTGTAATGGAAGGAGTGAAGAACTTGGTACTGAAGCAACAAGTAAGTTTAAAAAAACAATTAGAAAATCTATCATGAGTACTGTGAACATTTGGAGAAACAAATTTCAGTACCTTTGTCGTATTAATAAAAATTCATTGTGCTGTGAAAAAAGTAAACAGAAATCTCTGCTTATGGTTAGATCTATCCCTTTGTAACTTCCAGATATCAAATAAGTAAGGAATAATTCACATTTTCTTTGAAGACCTCTTTGTAGCAATTAAGACTGATTTCAGCATTATTAAAAGAATCAGCTGTGGAATAGTTAAAGTAGACTAGCCCTTCATAAACAAAAAAATATAACTATCTGTATCTTTACTTAGAACTACATGCATTAAGTTAATCTATTTTAGAGTGATAAAAAGGCTGAAAGTGTTAGTTCTCTGTTTACTTACAATTCAAAGCATCTCTTTTTCCCATGTGAGTGTAATGTACAGCAACTATGATCTTGTAATGTGCATGAAAATACAAATATGTTTATAATGACATGACCACCTTCAAATATTAACTTAACTTTGTAAAATTTTCTGAGCATATATTTCACTTGCATGAAATATACATCCTCCCAAAGAAAACAAACAATAGCACAAAAAAAAAGAAACTGATTGTGTAACTTGTAGCTGGAATGTTGAATTGTGGTTCCCAGAAACCTCCTTCTCTACATTATTTTTCCAATATGTAATTTCATCAGATGGCAATAAATAAATATTAATTTATGGTTTAAAGTCTTAGTTCTGTAGTTTTCACATGAAGATTTCTGAAATATAAGATCATTCATCATATTATAATTCAGTTGAAGAGTCAGAATTCAAATTAGAAATACAATGTATTAGAACTAAATAAAATGAAATCTTAACTAAAGGTTTATCCTTTTGACCTGCTTAATCATATCATTGTCATTGTTTGTTTATTCAGCCTGTTATACACATAATTTATACATGAAAGGTATCAGCTATTACAGAAAAGTTTAAAATTGGGGTCTCAGGTTTGTAGGGCAGTTAATGAAGTTAATTCTGCAGGAATTTCACTATGACTAGAATGATAAGCTGCATTGCAGAGTTACAACTCAGTGGTATATCATGATATATGATTGAGGAAAATTTAAATATGCAGCTTGCCTGTGTGTTATATTTTATAGAGAATTCTACAGATAAACCATTACTTATAATAATAGAAAACAAGTATAGTCTCCAGGAGACTTCCTCCTCTCCTTGCATTAAACATTTTGTAATTTCTTTAAATGTGTGGCTTTAAAGAGTTAATATTATTCTGTACAAACTGGCTTGCCTTGTTTTGCCTTCTGAGGGAGCAAAAAGCCAATTTGCTTTGTTTTCAGGATGTGCCGTTCTGGCTTTTAATTTCTTCTCCAAGTATTTTAGGCTAGCAAGATGAGAAGCCTTTCTTCCTCATATTTGTTAGCCTGATGTAGGTCTGTGGTATTTCTGTTAAAGTTAACTTTTTATTTTTCTTTCAGTAATTCAGGGATTCACATCAATTTTCCAGTGTAATATGTAGCTCATCCTTTGGAATGTCCTCTTTTGATACATTCTGTCAACAAGACTCATTTCCAATATTGTTGCTATGTAAACTCACCCTCAGTTTACTATAACTGCAGTAGTTTAACTCCTTAATATTCTGATCTTTTTTCCAGCTGACATTTCCTGTGTTAAATAAGGAACAGTAATCTTGAATTTCACCTCAGTTTATTCCTTTGCAGGTCATCCAAAAATTTGTTGCCAGGGTTGCTTTTTTTACCCATTTCTTTGACAACATTAGTTCTTTTTTAGAATCACCATTATCAGTATCAGCTTTAAAATTCTTTCCTTAACTGCAACATATTTTTTAATAAGAATTCATATTTGATCACATCTGCATATGTTGGTAGTACCTAAATACAACTCTGTTCCTATCTTCACATCTTTTTTGCACTTTATGTCTTACCTTTGTCCCCCAGCTATATGCACCTCAGATGTTTGCAATTTTTACAGAAAAGTAATTTAGGTGATAATAAATAAGCTTAACCTTAACAAAGCATAAGAGGAAACTGTTTAAAATAGTATTTCAGATGCTCTGTAAACTCTTCCATAAGTAATGATGTGCCTGGGAATAGTTCTTAGTAAGCTTTTTAGCATTCCATCAGTTTCACATTATGTTTTACAGAATCTGCCAGTCACACGTATTTTGGACAACCTTATGGAGATGAAGTCAAACCCTGTGAGTACAATTGCCTTCCTATAGAGAGAGGTGGAGCAAATGAAATCTGGAGTCTGTGATATGTCACATGCTAAGGCTAATTTTTTTCATGATAGAAAAAATCCAATCATGCTGTATTTCAAGAATAGCACCATTTTCATAACTGTTTTGTAAGACCTCTTTCATTTTAGTAGTCTAAACAATGACAATTTATCGTGTCTTATTGGAACTAATATTTTTTAGATTTTTCCTATTCTGAGCTTCTATTACACTTGTGTTATACTAAGCTTCTGTTGCTCCTAAATTTCTACATTAAGCTGTAGACTAAAATTTTCTTTGCATCAAAGTGTTTGTTTTTTAAAAGAGCACAATTTCAGAAGTGAAATATTTAGAGAGAGTTGTATTAGGGAAAATTACATCTCCCACATCTTTAAACTTTGCTATGTATAGGAAAATATTTTACTACTGATTCAGTCATTCTTCTTACAAGCAGAGGTGGTTTTTGTCAGAAAATTCCTCTTCTTGCCTTGTTTCTGTGAAAATTTACTCAGATATTTTAAATTTAAATGTTTAAAATTTTTTAATTGCTTGTGTGTTAGCTACACAGTCAAGGCATTTGCTAGAACTTACAACTAAAAGTAGGCCTGGTTAGTAGATTCAAAACATTCTTCTTAGTCCACTTTCACCTGCATGTAGTAACTGTATGTACAGAGAGAAAAATAATGGTAAAATATGAAAATTATCAACATGCAAGTAATCCTTTGTTTTCTTAAACTGTACTTCATAGATGATATATGTCATGATTCTTAGCTAATCTAAGATAATTTGCTTTCTCTTAACAAGCAAAGGAACTGACACTGTTTCCAGAGTTAGTGGATTGTTGTTCCTGTTTGAAAGACTTGGAAAAGATGTACAGGGCTAACTTCATTTAGTCAACCAGCAGATGTCACCCAGAACACTTACCATAGAAAGCTGAAATTAAAACTGTAGAGAACTTACAAGAAGGTGAAAAATTAAACCAATTTTTTTTTTAAATAAACCTTAGTTTCTTTAGGCTACAAATTTAGGAGTTGATTGAGAAAAGTTTACAAGTCATATGAGGTTTCTTTTCTGACTTGATTTTTTCACATTTACTTAGTAGAAAACAGCTACCAGCACTTTGATAATTTGGAGAAAATATTGATCTTCTCATTTACAAAATCAGCATTTGGGCCAATCTGTCAGTCAGCAGCTTCTTGCTCCACTCCCATGGCAGACACTGATACTCATGGCACAAAACAGGGAGTCCCACTTTTCAAGTCATAGGAGACCAGGCAATCCCTAAAGGATGATTCTCCTAACCTGCAGGAGAACTGACAGCAAGTTTGGAGTAAGTTTGAGCTCAAGGAAGGAAGCCAGAGAGTCATTGTGGAATGTGTTTAGACTTGCTGTACTATCAACAGAAGTGAAATTGTATCTGGAAAAGGTCAATGTGTGGAAATACACCATTGTGGCTTCTGTTCATCTTCTGATGTGTGGGATCATTTTCTATTTCCCAGAATAGAAAAGTATTGCACTGCAGGCAAAACACAAAGGGAGAGGAAAAAAGTTCACGATTTTATTTTTTACAACACAGAAAAAAGTCTCCTTTATAATTCAAGAAATCGTATTAACCACAGTAATCAATGTATGAAATGTACATACTGATAAAAGGTGTAATGCAAAATTAGAGTAGATTATTGAGAAGTCAAGTAATTATGTACAATGAATGTAAATCATTTATTTTCTAGATATTAACTGCAGCAATAAAGGAAATATATGAAATGTGCATACAAGTTGTACCAAAAACATTCAATATATATTATTGTCAGTTGAAATCTTCAACCTATTTAGAATGATATCCTGTGCAAAACTCTGTGGAGTAGTCTGTAAATCACTTTGTGTGTTGCTTGTCTCTGCTGTTTCTTTTTTTCTCTCTGGCAAGGACAAATAAGCCCATGCCACCCATGCTTTTCAAGTTTTTCAGAAGCAAGAGCAGCTAGAACAGATTTTATGGGCCATAAGATCTAAGTTACGTTAAGTTACTATCTTGTAACTTTTTAAATTTTTCTAGATTGTTTAACTATAGCTACACCATTTCTTGAAAAACATATTCAGAAACATTCCTTGATGACTTAAAAGTAATCAGTTACTTGTGAGTATTTTAAATAATATTTATTGTTAAAAGCACACTTTTAGGCCATTTCTTTTAAGGTCGTATTTTAATAAAGGAATATTCTGTTCATAAAACTAAAACATAGTTGCTTGAAATAGAGGTTGATTAAAACATTGAATCTTCATTAACAAACAAAAGTATACACAATTTTTAATTCATATCTGCGAAACTGACCATGATTTACTACAGAGTTATGGAGATCCTTCTAAGGATCTTCTAGAAAATGATTCGATTATTGAGTGGGGAAAATATTTGAAAAGTGAACCTTTACAAAGTGGTTAAGCCTCTGTCAATACAGTGTGTACATTTGTATTGACTTAAGTAGATAGCTCTTATTTGTGATATATATTAATGAAACTGTATTTTGGTTAATACTGTCCCTTTCAGCAGATATGCTGCCTTTCAGACTTAGGATATACCTTTCATGCATTACAAAGAAGAATTCTAATCCAAATTGGTCCTGTTAGATTCTGCAGAAAAAAAAAAAATACAGACTGAAAGTCAATGACATTTCCATGCATCTTTTTCCATTTTATTTGAAATATTGGAAACTAAGTTTATACATTCCGAAGTATTTATTTTCTTCTGAAATTGCTTAGGGAAGTCACAAATTCAGTTGTATGTAAGCAAAGTGCTATACACTTGTTTTTCTTGGCAGAGTTGCTGTATGTTAAAGAAAATAAAATCTACTATGCTTTCTTTTCCCTGCACTCTCAGCACTGATTTCAGCAGGAATAGTGTATTTAAACAGCAACAATGGAAAATCCCTAGGTTATCACATTTCTATTGCTTTGCCACTCTCTTTGTGTCTACTTACACAAGCCCACAGTGAAAAAACACAGCAGTAAAACATTCAGGAGTAAATGTTTGTAATATGTTTATTAACTCTGATTTTTAGTTCTGTCATTAATCTGTAATTCCCTCTAATAAGCAGAGAAAGTTAAACTCTTTATCCCAGGTAAAGATTTCTCAAATACCTCTCAGTTTTAGTCTATCAATATCTGTCCATTCCCAGCTCTCTTTACCCCAGAGTCACTATACCACCTTTAGGTATGAAGCTGCAAAATCATGAATGCTGGCAGACTCCAGCAGTTGAAATTCCCAGTGGAGCATATAAAAGCATTTTACAGAGATTCAGTGGGAAATTAGATCTAAATTATTTTCTTTTTAAAAGCCAAGCTGCAGGATTATTTTATCTAATTATATAAAAGTTTGTAATATCAAATAGATTTATTTTGTGTGTGTGTAACCACCGCATGTATATTAAATACTTTTTTATATTAGAGGTAGTTATGCTATGTGAGTTCTAGTAAATTCCCCAGATAATTTGTCTACTACTCAAGTATTTTTTCTGCTCTACAGAATAAGCAGAATTCCGAGGTTTTTGCATGTAAGCACACAGATAAATTGTAGTTCTGCATGCAGTTTATCAACAAACTAAACTTAACAGTACCTGGATGAAAATGTAGTATAGAAACAGGAGAAAGCCAAGAAGTTGTCAGAAGAAGTTACTAAGAAGTCCTGTTTTTCATCCATAATAATTGGCAAAAATCCTACTTGTTGCCAATAAAAATATTGGAAGTGCCTCAGTGTTCTGTGTGAAGAAAATTTTTTTCTGTAGTTTAGAGAGTCAAACTTTTCAAATTTTGTGGAACTCATTTCTTCTTCAAGAGCTTAATTTTGGTTTAATAGCAGTCATAAATCATGACATGAGAAGGATAAGTTACATACCAGTAGCAGATTTTGATCTGTCTTGTCCTTAGCACTCATTGCCACAGAAGTGTTTTGTTTTATAATGTTAAATCAATAGCAGATCTCCGTAACCTGGAAAATGTTCGTGTTTGTTACTAACCATCAGTGTTCCTCTAAAGCTGGTAACAATTTTTCTTTCTGCATGTCATCTTTCTGTTGGGATTCATTATGCAACCAGTGTATTTTTTGGAAAGTGTGTGATAGTCAATTTTAGATGAACCAGAAATAAAAAGCTCAATAGCTCCCTTCATAGCTTCTCACTATTGTTTATTCTGTACTGGTTCAGTTATATACAAACTTTTTAAATACTAGTAGACACCACAATTAATGTTGAATGATGTGATGGGAAATGATACTGGTTTGAACAATGTTTAATGTCATAGATACAAGCAAAAATTCATTAGCCAAAATTCCAATCTTTTGAGATAAAAACATATTTTTAATAGGAGACAGATGACTACCGGTACTTTGACCCCAAGATGCTGCGAGGCAGTGACAGGTGAGTTTTGCTTCTTTCCTTTTACTCCATGAAAAGACTAACTTAAGAAATCTGTTTTATTTTGCTTGCTGACTACAAGTAATTATTTTGATCATTAATTCTAAGTCAAGACAGTTGGTCTTGAAGGAATTTACAAGTGGGAACTTGGATCGATCAGATAAATTTTTATAACACTGCAAAAAAAATCTAAAAAATAAGTGCTAACGTGTACATTAGTCACAGGAATGTGCATTAATATTTAGCAATAATAAGTGTTAGGGTTCTTCACAGTTGTACTGCTTGGTTTCTTAGAAACTTTGTGAGTTTGCACTGTTAAATAGTCATTGGATAGTGCACCAAAATTTCCTTGTCACTTTTTAAACAGTTACAATTCTGATTTTAATACAACCCTTCTTTAGTAATTTGTTACTAAGTTTGAAAAAAAAATTAAATTTGACTGCATTTATTTTTGTTTATGTTATGCACATTTTATGTTCATGTGTATATGAAGGGAGGCTTGGATATAGTTTATTTTGCCAGCAAAAGAGAGGAAGAGGAGTTACATCAGAAGTTTATAAATCTTAATTTTTGCTTTGTATCTTTAACTAATAATTGTCTGATAGTCTCACCTAATCTAATATCCTGGCAACAGAGAAGATACCTAATTTTGATATTCTTTCGAAGAATAGCTGTCATTGAACCTGTGGGAAAACAATAATGTCATTTGATTGCACCACTTTATTACAGGATCAGTGTGGATAAAGTAAATTCAGGCTTGGTTTTAGTTATTTGCATGAAAATTCTGTCTCTACTTTGTTCTTGAAACATGAAAAGTAAAAGGACATAAATGTCAAATTATTTTTATGTTTTATTGAAAAGTATTACAGATTATAAAATTTCAAAGATAAGCAAATTTTGAAATTATCAAAGAGAAAAGCACTATTGTATTATGTTTCATTTTGATTTCAGCTGTCACTTATTAGTGATGCTTTTATAGTGTTTTTGGTGGATTTTGTGCAAAAGTGTAAAGGTTTGTTTTACTCAAGCAGAAGGGTTTTTTTCATTTTCTGCCCTCTCTGTATAGTTCTTACATTGCTTTAAACAATATAGAATTATTCATTTACAGCAGTTCATAAATGTGGCATTCTGTGTATCTACAATAGTCATCATAGGGAATAACTTTTAATTTCTGGTTTGGGATTTGTACGTAAACTCAAGTTATGTTCCTTAAATCATACTTGGGCATGATAGCAGAACTCAGGCAGTAGTTTGCCTAATTCTCCCTTCAAATATTTTGTAGACAATAAAAACATATGTTAGTTTTCTTGACAGAATTGTGATATAAAATAATATAATTAATGGATTTAATTTAAAAGTTACTGATTTTATTTTCTAATCTCCCATTTTAAGAAATATTGACATTTCTACTTACTTTCTGTTCTAAATAGAGTAATAACTGCATTGCTGTTATTCAGTCCTTGGAAAACAGTGTCTTTCTGTCCTGTGTAAAGCCTACTTCAAGTATGATCAGGCTTTGTCCTCTGAAAGGATGACACAAGATGTGTGTGGATTTGTTGTATCATACTCAAAACATGAGAGAATTGGGGTTACAGTTCTACTTATGGGAAGTCTGTAGTATTCCTGACAGACAAGGCAACACATTAGAGACAGCCATTCCATTTTAAAACCTATTTTTCTGATACACTGGAATCTGTGTTGACTCAGTTGTTCTTGGTCACTCAGAGAAAAGGTCTTGAAATAAGGGAAAAGGTGACTTGAAGGGGAATGTGCAGTGGTTTTAGAACATAAGATGTATTTGACTTGCTGGGGATGCAGGCCAGTACAGGGCAGGAGGGCAGTGGTAGTGTGTGAGCAAAGGCAGGAGAGCAGACTGACCCTTCACAGCTTTTTCTTCACTTTCCCCTTCCCCTGAAGCTCCAAGGTGATGCAGGAAAAGAGGTTTCTCCCCCTCCACCTGCTACCTGTCATTGTATTCAAGTGAAGGAGTCTGTACCAGCCAAACTTGTAATTTCCTTCTTCCTCCCTTTGTCATTATGATCTTGCATAGCTGGTTTTGAGATTTGGAAGCATCAGTAAGTGTGTGCAGGCACTGCAAACTGACTGCCTTACCTAGCTAAGATGCCAGGAGGTAGGAATTCTAGGTGCCTTGAGTTGTACTAATGCTGGTCATCTTTTAACTCATTTTATTTGCTCCTAGCTAACTGTAGTTAGAACTTTTAAACTGTAGAAGAATTGTTGTCATAAAGTTTATTATTCAAACAGCAACATTAGAAATTATGAAGTAAAATTCCTATTTTCTCATGTATTCAGTTCTGTAGAATGAATGATTTTCCATAACAAATGGAAAGGCAGTTATTGTTCTTACATTTTTGTCTAATAGTATATAGTAGTCCATTCATATGATGGGTACATGATGCTTATTGTGCATATTTCTATTAATGTGTAATGAAATCTGTGCTGTATTTTTTCTAGTTCAGTTCCAAGAAATAAAAATCCATTCCAGGAGGTAAGTCACGTAGAAATTATTTTTCAATGCTCATGTGTTAAAAATAAAAAAATCCTGAAGTGCAGTCATTTTTGATGATCCTGATTAAGAAAATGAGAGGTCTTATTTACAAAAAAGCACTTAGACTAATTATATCTAGTATTAATTATAATTAGCTGTTATTCTGAAGCTTTTCATCTTCATAGGACTATGTAAGTATTAACTAATACTGGAGAAAAAAAAAGTAGAAAGTTTTCTGGAAGATAGTTACAGGGATTTACTAATATCATAATTGAGTGAGCAATTTAAGTCCCCCATTTTTAGACCAGATTTTCAGAATGTTCTCTAGAGTTCATCCTTTGTCCAGCCTTAAACAACAGCATTGATGTAAGTGACTACATTAAGGAGGCTCTGCAGTTAAAGAAAAAAAAAAACAAAATAATGAATGTTACCATTTCATACAAATGCCTGTAACTTTCAGTATTTTTCTGTGTAAGTGTTTACAAATAGAAAAAATCTTACCTGATTACTGCAAAGTTTCATAAGCAAAGTATTTACCTTGGCAATATACGAATGTTTCCTATTTCTCGTGAAATATCCTAATTATCCTCAGGAACAAAAGAAATACCATGTAGTATCATAGATATATCTATATCTATATATCTATATATCTATATATCTATATATCTATATATCTATATATATATATATATATATATATATATATATAAATATGGCTACAGATGGTCATACCAAAAATGTCAGTAATAAGATAAAGTCTATAAAATTCATATAGTATGATCAAACAATTTTGGATAATGAATGCTAAAAATAATAATACAACCATTAAGTCTCCTTTTTCTAGACATGAATTCTACTTTAAACACTGCCCAGAAAATACTGATGGCTTTTACCTGTAATATTAGAAATTATTACCAGTAGTAGGTGGGAAGGAAAAAATGATAAAAAGGTGTATTTCTTTATGATAGAAGTACTTTATTTATGGCCCAGATAAACATCCATGAAGACTTTAACACTTTCTCTGGTCATTGGAGACATCTCTGGACAAGAAAAGGAACATGTTGAAACTGTATATGTATGAGTATGTCTTAATAGAAGAGAGTGACATGTTAAAAGCTCTCAGCTTGCTATTCTGCATCCTACCAAAACTTCAGATACTTCCTTTCAGATAGGAAGCAGTGGTTCTGTATCCAGTTTCCTATAAGACCACAGTGTGATTGTGATGATTTTTGTTGTAGGTTTAATTATCTGGTATATCACTACTGAAATTTCAAGAATTTGAATGCATACTCTAATAATATGTCTGTTGCCTTTTAGGCCATAGTGTTTGTAGTTGGAGGAGGCAACTATATTGAATATCAAAATCTTATTGACTACATAAAGGTATGTGTACTTCTGTCAGTTGTAGTCCTTAACTTACTGATAGAAACCAGATAGAGCATGTTTTCTGTAATATTTAGTATTTAGAAGACAAAGTCTATGAATTTAGCCTTAACATCCTTATTCTATACAGAGTCTGGGAAAAAAGGAATGTAAGAAATCAGTAGAAATTGTGGGTTGCTAATTCAGACCAACAAAGACTTACTGTTTCTGGGATTTTGCTCATGTTGCCCTTTAGAGCTGAGTAAATAAACTGCATTCTCTTTTATTTTGTGTTCATACGCACCAACGTGCTTGAAAACTGTCAGCAGATGTAGCAAACTGAATTAACCTGTTTCAGAGTTGTGTTAGTAGTTTTCATGTGCTGGTGTTAAATAAAGCAGCTGTAGCATATCATAACCTTGAAAGTAAGGAACTGCTGAGAATTCTCTAGTTTTCATAAATCTTGCAAAAGAGATACCCTAGTGCTTTTTTGTATGCAGTTTTGCAATATGGAGTCAGTTTAAACTCAGGCCTGTGGATAACACCATTTTATTGTATGACAATCCTAGTTGTGCATAAAGCATGTTGTTTCAGAAACCAACATAATCCAAATACTATGCTATCTGTTAAAGCAAATATCAGATTGGCACCAGTATCTAAGCATTTATTACTTACCCCCAGTTAGAAGTTTTCCCTACTGAGTTAGTAGAAGCTCATTCTTGTTAAACTGCATCATTTAATTCTGTGTAGAAATCATAAAAGGTGTCATATTCTCAAGTAAGAAAATACATAATCAACTATGTAATGCTGGTGTAACAAATTTAATTTCTCTGGTTCCAACTGGTCAGACTAGCAGAACACATGTATACCAAAAATCAGTGGATGGAGAAAAATAACTAAATCATTACAGTTCCTGGGAGGCAGGAGTCATATTCAAGCACTTTCCAGGAATTAAAAAAAAAATGCCAAAGTAACCTTAGTAAAATTCTGAGGAAGGTAATAAATTATTTAATAGCAGCAGCACACCATTCTTTCTTCCTGATCTTAACCTTGTTGTGGTACAGTTGTCCTGCCCTCTGGTAGCCTGGATTGAGGCTTTTCACACATGAGAGTAGATATGGAGCATTAGTCATTGAAAACCAGTTATTCTACAAAGCACTGGAGAGTTTGATGTCCAGGTAAATTTTGAAGAATGCAAAGTCAGAATGTGTGTGCTGAGTTTGTCCCTCTGACAGGCAGCCATTTTGAAACAGAGCTGGTCTGGATAGAGGAAAGGATTGGAAGAGAAATGTAAATTAAAGAAATCATTTAGATTTGGCTTAGCACTCATCACTGTCCTCAATAACAAATTCAGTGAAGCATCTGCCTGTGGCAGAGTGTATTGGCAAACGTTTAGCTTGCTCCTTAGTCTACCCAAAGCCTCTTTAGCTACTATATCAATCCAAAAGATGCCCAAGAGGATGACTATGTGTTACTTCCTATTAAAAAAAATCTTCTGATTCCCCTAGAGGTTAGTTCACTTGCCTGATTGTAACTGCATGCTGACAGAGCTGAGGTTTGCTCTGTGTGTGTATATACAGGGCACTGGTGTGATGACAGATTAAACACTCAGCACTTCATACAAATTGTCAGGAAGCTGAAGTTTGACAGGAGTAAGAGCGCAAACAGGAGGTCATTTGTCAAACAGAAGAAACTGAAAACTATGGAAATGATAATGTTAGATCTTATGGAGAGTTGGAAGTTGAAAATACTCTTTCTTCTTCTGGAGCCTGTGAACAGAGGTTTTTCATCACGGTTGTCACAGTTGTGACTGCAATGTCACAGCTGAAGTTTGCTCTATGTTTCAGACTGTGTACTTGAGCAGTGGGAGAAGACCTCCCAAGGGGGAAGACTCCCTCACCTTTATTCCACTTAGCCCTTTGCTCTTGAAAAAACAAGAAAGGTTAATGAAAACCTTTATTCTCCCTCCCACCACCTGAAAACCTGTGTGCCTCTCCCAGGTGACACTTAGTCTTATCCAACAAAATTTGCTTTTCCATGTGGTAGACTTTCAGCATCTGTTGTTTCCACAGATGTAGCTTATTAATTATTCTCAAATTCAATCAGTCTTCCTCCAGAATAAAAAAGAGAAAAATCAACAGCTCCGTTCTTGCAAGCAGATACCACAGAGATTTTATTCATGGCTTTATTTTTCTAAGCACTATCTGTTTTGCCAGTTTGCTCCTGAAAGCACAGAGAAAGTATTTGAAAACTTTCTGAAACAGGAAGCAATGTTCATTCAGCTTTGACATTCCGGGATTTTTTTGCAGAAGAATTAAGAGAAACCTTCAAATCTAATTATTTGTAGTTCTGTGCTAGAATAGACTATTTCACTATGTCAAAAAGCAAATATTTATGCTGCCATTGAGGTAGATTGTGCCTTAAAATAAATATATTGTCCAAGTTCAATTCAACATGCTGAAAATGTGTCATCAAAATTGCAAGGCATAGGGAGCCTCCAAGAGGAGGCTAGCATACTGTTGTGTGCAAAAGAATTTAGTAGATCCTGTAATTTCCCTTTGTAGATGCTTTAAAAAGTACTGCTTGTTAATCCTCTACTACACTGTTAAACAACTGATTTCCTATGGACTTTTCTTTTTTAGGGTAAACAAGGCAAACATGTGCTCTATGGCTGCAGTGAACTTTTTAATGCCACACAGTTTATAAAACAGGTAGATAACTTTGATGACCTCTATGATATTTATTGCACTTTATCTGTAAGTTGATTTATATAACTCTGCATCTCCATGGATTTTTACCAAAAAAAACCTCAAATTAATCTGTGAAAGAATAATGCATGTTACCTATTTTATTTTTATTTGCTTGAAGTGGGGTTTTGTTGTAATTTTTTTAATTAGCTGTTGAAGGCCTGTTATCAATGTGAGTTCACACAGGTAATGGAGGTAAACAATTTCATAATAATTGTCTTAATCCTACGGAAAAAAATTGAGCCAGTTCTTGGAACTTTTACAAACAGTATCTCTTTCTAGGGTTTTCTTGCAGCTTTTTCAAGTTACAAGATGTTTACACTTTTGTCCTGGTTTATAAACATCTGCAGATATATAGATATAAAAGTAGTGGCCTGCTGGGAACTTGATGTCCATACCTGTACTAAACTCTGCTGTTAAAAACATCATTACTTCTCTATAGAACTCCAATATGAATACAAAATAAAAATTATTCATGGTGGTCAGCAAATAGCAGCCCTTCAGTATCTGTCGCCTCCCATGGTTTGATGTCCTACTAAGATGAGAATAAGTTGTTATTCAAAGCTACATTTTAAAGAACTACATTTATAGTTGTTGCACTTGAAGGAGACAAATAGTACTTGATGACTTTTACCTCCTCATTCAGCTTAATTAACATTTTTTTTGTCTTGACTCTGTACACTGTACCTTTGCTTCATTCATAAATTCATAAAAATTTGAAGCTCAGGTCTTCTCCTCTGCGGTTATGAATTAAATAGTCTATCACCAGAAGACATTTGGTTCTCAGAGACAAACAAAGCATATATGACAGAAATATTTGCTGCATGAACTGCATGTTTGTTTGACTAAAAGAATAAGATTAGCAATCTAATGACTTTTTTCTCTTCACGTTTAGCTGTCCCAACTTGGCCAGAAATAAAACTGAAACACCATTACCTGGATGGAAATGTGACAACAGAGAATTGTTACAACATTCAGATATCTTCATATCTTTATTTTTGTCATTATATTAAAACTTTAACCCATTTCATTAATATGATAACTTTTAAAAAAAATCTGTAATTAATACGGTGTATATCAGCATTTCAGAAATAAAACTTAAAACCTACTGTGTTTCTGGTGGAGGTCAGTTTCACTATTATTGCATTTTTATTGCAGTACTAGCTATGGTATTTGACAGAACTGGCTGAAAAGTATGGCATTTTCAAGTTCTTATATGTACGTTTCTGATACAGTAAGCAGGGCAATAGCTCTAAGAAAAGGTCGTCTGTCTTTAGGAGTTATGTTCTTCTTGAAAGCCAGAATATCTGTATTTAACAAAATTCAAAAGAGCAGAACTGCCTTTCAGGACCACAGACAAAGAGCTTTAGTGTAAGAGAACTACTTCTAGTTCTTACCCTTTTATTTTAGCAATGTCATTTGATTTGTGCAGTCTTTGCATTGTGGTCGAAAGATGTACTGGAAGATACCTTCAGTACAAGTTTCTGGTACAGAAATTTAACTTTTCTTTTAAAGTTGAGAGAAAATTGCTTGCCAACACAGTCAGTTTCAAACTAAAACTGAAATCTTTAATTTTCTTCTGCACTTTTTATTGTAACTGCTTTGACTGTTATGTTTGGGAGGAACCCAAGTCATACTCACAAAACAGCTCTTAACTTGTATCAGCACATATTTAAAATACCGTTTTTAACAATTCCATTAAGTAGGGGCAGTTTAGTAGTTTAAAGAAACTGGTAATGATAATTTTGGAGAATTATCATTACTTATCAAAGAACATAACAAATTCTTTTTATGGGTGGAGGTCTGTCTTTAGAAACCTCCTCTCTGGAAATAGCTACTGTGAAGCAATAATATGACTTCAAAACAAGGCCTAACACACTCAAAATGTGAAAACATTTCTTGTGGTTTATTAGCCAACTGTGAGAATTACTGGCTTACTGTAAATTTTTCAGTAGTGCTTTTTGCACTGTTTTTCAATGTTGAATGTTAGTTTTGCACTAAACACGATGCCCTTTCCCCAACTTGATTGCTTTTCAGAACATCTGTACAAGAAATGCAGTTGATCTATTCCTTAAAAGTATCACAAGAATAATATGCTTAATCTAGACCATGTTATCAAAAAGTGATAATGTTATTTAATTATCTAAGTGTTGTTTGTAATCTACTCCACAATACTGCTATATATTTCTAATTTTTCTGAGTCAATAAATATATTTACTATGGTGTTCATTGTAGTTGTTGCATGTGAACACTGTCCCAGATTTTAATAAGCAAGGGCTCACTACCAAATGCAGTTTGTTATTCTAATTCCATATATATATACACATATATGTGCTATATTTGTTAGCAAAAACAAGGCCAAAGCGTGTCAGGAAAAGAAAATTACATTTAAAGTGTTTATCACTTCTTGTGGGAGTTTGTTCCAGGCACTTGAAATGATCCCTCCTCAACTGTGCTTCCTGTGCAGAGAGTTTTAACCTTGCAGCTGACAACCAGCTTAGGAGAAATCTGCCACTTGGTTTTTGTCCAGATCTTGGCACTGCTCACTTGAACGAGAAGCACTCCTAAATCTCAGCTTACAGAATTTGCTTTTGCAGTAAACTGTGTAAAGATAGAAGAATTACTTTGTTGGCTACATTCAAAAGTCTGGTTTCCATCTTTAGTGACTCTGGAGACAGGTTTCATTCGTGCCCAGCTTTATAACTGGATCTTTGGGTCTGCTGTGTCAGCAGGCTCTGGTCAGTTTGGGGTTCAGGTTTTAAAAAATAAATACAGTTTTTGTACTTCAAACCTTCTTCTCCTTCATCTCCAAAACAGTTTTCTGGTTGAGTTGTAGTAGTAGTCCTGAAGCTTTCTGTAACTTTAAGCTGTGCATTACTGCTCTGTCCCTGTAACAGCGTGCATGCCTCATGCTTCTTCCTTGCTAACATAACCTGAATTACGGCGTGCAAGTTTTTGTTACGTGGCCCTTTTGCCCAAGTACCTCTGGATCTGGGAATGTGGAACGTGGTACAAAAAGCCTCTGGTTATTTCGAGGCAAACAATGTTAAAAATAAGCTCTCTCTTTGGTAAGCTGCTTCAATGTACAGCTTTCACAGTGCCCTTCATCTCTTCAAAGGTCCCTCAAAAGGCCTATGCTTAAAGGAGAGGTTATGCCTGGCTCAGTGAGTCTTTTAAGTAAAATTGCAGCATTCATGTGGCTAATAAATATTTTAGGTGCTGCATGGAAGACCAGTGAGGTTTGGAACTTTTCTAGCCCCTTCTCTGTTGCTAAAGCTCTGACAGGGCCAGCTGGTGAGGCAGCATCAACAGCAGCGCCAGCTTCTGGCACAGCAGCTCCAGCTTCCTCATCTCAGGACAGGCAATTTTTCATTGGTACTTTTCATTTAAGTAAGTAAAGACAGCACAATGATGAGTGTCAAGTGCTGTACCTGTTCTCAGGAGGAAAATTAGCAAATTAGCAGTCTGGTCTTCACTTGTGGAAAATTCAGTTGATCTTTCAGGAACTATGGACCATTCTTATAAACAGTTGCACATATTTCAGAATACATGCACATTTTGAAATTAAAGCCCTTTGCTTCCTTTCCTGATTTAATTTGAAGATTTTAGAATATTTAGATGGATATTTTGTGACTTAATGGTGAATTCAGTGAAAATTCTGTTTTTTCAGAATTAGACACTAAAGAAGTAACAAAAAAATTAATCAGAATGAAGGAAAGAAGCTTCTGGAGACCAGCACTTGATTTAAATGTCCTTATTTGTATGATACTCTCTGATGCAAATCAGATGGAAATCTTTCTTAGGCTTGAAGTAAATTTTGCTAGTGATTGATGGTGCTCCCATCAATCTGAACAGAATGTAAAATAGGTTTTTCCCAAAACCCAGAGGTTCTGCAGGGAACAGGAACACTGCTATCAGTCACAGTTACAGAGCCAACCTAGCTGTGCATGCATGGCTTCAGGACTAAAGCTGAACAAAGGGCACCATTTCTCTTTCCACTTAAATGATGTATTCCAAAATGGAATTGCTTAATGGCTAGTTCAGTGTGCTGGCTAGCGCAATCCTATGAGATTTAGGAGGTAGAAGGTTTATAAGAGGGTACATGGGAAACTACCCTCTTATTCAAAACTACCACAACTGCATTCTTGAGATCTGAAATAAAAGGTGTTGGGCTGGAACACTGTATTCCTTATTTACTGACAGTGGAGGCACTCACTCCCTCTCTTTGTTAGTATCATTCCTTAGTTGTGACTCGTTGCTGACAGATGGCTCTGGCTCAGAGAAAGGCCAGCCTGCCCAGTGTTCTAGTGGTACAGAAAAGTGAGCCACAGTGTCAGTGAGTTCTGTGTAGCTTCAGAGATCAGAGAAGGTGTTAATATTTCTTACTGTGAATCAGTAGATTAATTGACCCAGTTCTGTTTTATTTGGAAGTGGCTTAGTAACTCCATTCTGCAGTTGTTTTCAGTAACATTCAGATACATTCTGCTCCTTAATACGGTCACATGTCACTGCAACACATACCATCCTTCACCAGCATACAAAAACCTGCAGGTTGATTCCATCAGTGCATCATATTTTTTTTCTACAATTATAAACCATTAGGTAGTTCAGTTGCCACTGGAATTTTAAATTGTAATGATAAATTTGTATCTTGCCCTTTATCTGCTCGTGTCTTTCCCTTTATGTAAATCAAGCAGCACTAGATTTTATTTTCCTAAAATGTTATGCCAGTTTCTTCTCATAGTTGCATAGGTTGACTTGTTTCATTTAGTAATGGAAGAGTGGTCTTTATCTTGTGAAACCAGACTCCTATGCTCAAAAGCCTCAGAACTATCCATTCCAGGTCCTATTTCAGTCTCCCCATCTCATATGTGCATTCCTGTTTCTGGCAGTACAAAAGGGATAGATCAAAGGCATACTGCTTTTACAGAAAATTGGTTTTAGCACCTCAGCATAGACAGGTAATACAACTCATTTACTGCTGTGAATTCTTACTTGTATTATGTAGGTAGCATGAAAATCAATGGATGAAAATTAATGGACGAAAATTAAGTCCTAGAAGGGGTATGTAGCTTTCCTTAACAATAATTGGTGTGGATTCAGTATTTTCTGACAGGAATAGAGTTCTCCATAGTGTTGCCTACAGTAAAACCATTTCCCCACCTTTTCTCCTTACCCAAATAAATTTTAATCTTCTCTCTACATATAGACTTTCCAAGGCTTTCAAATCATACTGAAGATACAGTTTTAACAAATAATAGGATTGTTCCTATTTCATTTTGCAGAGTAAACTTACACAGGTCAATAATTTATTGTGAGTTAGACTTAATTGAGCTGTTTAGTTTACTCCCTGAAATTATCTAGGACCATTTGTACATTCAGCTACAATGGCAAAGCTTCCTGGGCTCTTCCTGCATCTCTAAACCAGGGGAATAATTGCAATATGCTGTATAAGTTGCCAAATGACAATGGAAATTCTGTTCTGAAGTGTTTGTTACATTCAATTTGATATATGTTCTCAAAAGACTTTTTAAACCATAAATCAACACATATATATTTTATCTGTTCCAAGTGCAAATATCTATGTTTGTTTACTTTTTCTATACCACAATATTCATCATATGAAATAGATTGAATAAGGTCAACATTTTCTTCCATCTACAAATCCCTTGGGATCAGTGTCTTCCTACTTGGTTTGTCCATTCTTTTATGCAGCAAGTTCTCTGTATCCATAACAAAGACTCTCAGATCAGGTCACAAAACCAAAAACTAATGAAGGAGAGATGATGGATTATGACACAAAATGTTTCACAGGCAAGCACGCTTTTTTCATGTAGAGCTAGTGTAATAGCAAAGCTAATTTTATTGCCAGCTTTGCAAGCACTGAAATAAACCCTCTCTTTTTATATGTCAAAAAAGTGAAACACAGGTGGTGCCATTTTTTCTTTAGATTCCCTTACCAGTATCTTCCAGTCATCTCAGAGCATGTCTTTTGCTTCATTTTCCTGGGATTGTTGGCAGCTAAACTGCTGAGCTCCAGCTGGGATGTGAATCTGCCCTTGAACTGGAACATGATCCATTCCCATAGATAACTAATCAGCCATGGGC